TACAGTATTAAGTGGATAATTGATTTTAAGCAGCTCTCAACAATTTTAAGGTTTTTATTTACGAAGAGTAGATAATTTATGAGAAGAAGATAAACGTGAAAACATAAATCTCCATTCTAATATTTTTAATTTGATTTGATTCCTAAAAAAAATATTATTATGTAGATTTAACCCCCACCCCCTTAACATTTTTTTGAACAGTTAGCAAAATGTCGAATTAGTTTTGTTTAGAGGAATGGAGTAGGTAAGCCCCCTAGTTACTTATATGACTTGCGAGGTTTAAAACGTTAAAGAGATTTAATTATTTTTTTCGTGAATAACGTCCAAGGGTATCGAAAATGCATAAATGAAGCATGTTTACTTAAAACCTTCCATTGATTCCATTCAAGCATTTATGTTAAATAGATGATTAAAATTAAATATGTTTTATTTATGACAAAATAAAAAAATATCGAAAAGTAAATTGTCATATGAGTACTAAAATAAGAAATCCAGATTTTCGTTAATGCTTAAAATTCTACTTAATTTTGAAACCCAATTAATATGTTTTTAGTTTTATAAATTATAAAATTCTTTACATTAACCACAATATAACCATAATAGTTTATGTGATATATTTTTAGAAAATTCGATGAATGATAAAAAAGTTATGGAACCTGTTAAAGTATAAAAATGATTTATCACTTTCGTTAAAATTTTACTATACTCGACATATATATCGTATGCAATTATTTATCGTACAACTTCGAGAATTGCCCCTCTAATTATCATTATCATAATTTTAATCTTAAATATATTCAAATAACAGCCAATGAACAGAGGACAGATAGAAAAAAATACAGAGACCTACTAATTTAAAATCTATGCATAAAATATGCAACATAAAAAAAGATCTAATTGGATCCCTCCTTTTGTGTTATTCATTGTCATCAATGCATATATCATAAATATAATAATCAAATTTGTTTATTATGTATACACTATATGTATACATACATCTATGAGTAAAGCATATTTATAATTTATGCTATGTCGTAGAATTAGCTATTCTGTTTTTGAATAAAAAAAAATTCTTTTATTAATGTTAATCAAAAAAAATTTAATATTACCAAGAAATTATTTATGATAGCATAAAAGATATTATGATTGTCTTGCGAAGGGGCACAAATCATCACTTACTTTACTCATTAAAATTAAGGCTATAAAAGTCTTACAATAAATGTTAATCATCTCTAAAAATAAAGGGTTCAAAGTAAAAATTCTAAGGATAATTATTATAGAAATACAAAGAAAGTTTTTCTAAACATAGAATAACTATCCATACAATATGTGTATATTGTAAAAACCGATCATTCTCGTAAGTACACTTTGTAAAATATTTAAAATATTATATTTATTGTATAAGTATATAATTGATTAAGAAACCTCTTTCTTCGGAAGAGGCCACGATGGCCCTTAATGGGCTGATATAAACGATAAAAAAAAAATAATAATAATAAGTATAGACATTGTTTACTGGACACACTAAGATTATTATTGTTACATAAATTTCTACCATATCAGTTCGAGATAATTTCAAATTGTTTGTTTTTGTAGTAGTCAGTAATAATATTCTTGGAATTCTAAATAAGTAATATAAATTTAAATGATTGAAGGTATTAATTGTAGATTTCGTAGAATAGCTAAACCTATTGCGATTGTACGTGCACGTCTGCTGAGTTTAGTCATAGATTAAATACACATTGTGTCTTAATTCTGTAATTAGTCTATAGACACATACATTTTTTACTTATATTTGGCCCATAAATTTATATTTATTAAATTAATCTCTTCTTTTGTAAACTACTGTTAATGTTAAAAAGGATGGGGAAAACCTGTACGGCTAGGCGGAAAGAAATCGAATGAAATTAATATTTAAAATAATGAAGACTTAATGTGTCCATTCATTCTTTTGTTTGGCAACTTAATGACAAATTTTTATTATAAACCGAAATTATACCAGTTAACAAATTTATACACATAGTTGGTCCAATCATAGTATTAGCTAATTCATAACTGCAATCGATACTAATACGGAATTATTTTCAAAAATGATAATTATTTACACTATTTAAACATTACTGTTTTACATCAATATTTTTGGTTTTTGTTAATATATTAAAAATATATATTTCAGTATAACGAATTCAATTCATATTTTTTAAATCGATTTTTATTTATTTACTTATATGTTTAAACATATTATCAAAAAACATTCTAAGATATACTTGCAAAGAACTCATAATCTTTCTACTAGTGATTGGTCGCCTCAAGCTAACCTGAAAGTGATGTATTAATCGAAGTTACACATGTTATTACTAATCGTACCACAAATTGTATAGGAACAAAGAAAACTACTGCATCCAATTAATAAAATAAGAGCATTGTGACACATATTTTAACTATATAAAGTCTTATTATTTTAATGAGTATAATATTTTCATTAATATAAAAAGAACTTATACATGATTTATATTATGTATATATATATATATATATATATATACTTTTTTTAAATTAAAACAAGAATAAATCAATTAATTCATATATATATATATACATATATATATATTTAAATAAACAAAATTTAATAATTTTCCATACATATATTTCAACTGGTATATTATGATCATTATGAATTTTATGAACCCTTATTACTGTTAGAACTATTAAATACTATAAATCTCAATAAAATAATAGTATTTGAGGATTATATTTTTTACAATTAAATTTTATTGCGTGAAGGATTATATTTTATTTACATAGAACACACTTTTAATTAATTCTTATTGCTAATGGAACCGTTCAGGATTATTGTGTCTTAATGGATCACAAAAAACATCACTTGAGGTAAAATTACCATTGAGTGCAAAATACTGTTTTCTGGGATTTATTATTAAATAAGATAAATCAATTTAGATTTATTAAACATTATATCAAATGTAAATCCATGCAAGCTAATTTTTTATATTCACATACAAATTCCATTTAATATATATTACAGATTTTTCTTTTAATTCAATTTTGCAAAGTTAAAGTCATACTAGCTCACATCACTTATTTTAACAGTAAAATTATAATGCAAATTAGATTTATAATAAAAATAGCTGACATAAAATAGTATATTATGCATATTATTAAATACAATTCTATAGAGTATTCAGTAAATAAGGAAAAGGGTATCTATTATACTCATAGTTTGTAATAATTGACATTTTTCTTTACTTTTTGAACACTCTGTATATTTTATAATTGTACAATATAACTTAACTCATGTAGCTGCTTGAAATCGTTCAAACAGTAATAATTGAAATGTTTGCTGCAAAAAGGAGATAGTTCAACCTTTTTGTCATTTGGAGGTCTAAATGTTTTTATTGTAAAAAAAAATTCTTTGACTTAATACTAGAAAAACTTAACTATATGTATTTTAAGTCAAGTAAGTTTACAAATAAAATTATAAACGTCATTATATTATATAGAAATAAAAAATATAAAACAAAATTTTGGTAATGATTTTTTAAAATATACAACTACTACCTTTTTGTAGAAAGTTCTTTAATTTAGAAATAAATATATTTTATACGATGTCTATTACTAAAAGCAAACATATCTTTTTTTTAATGAATAATATGATTTCAAAAAAGAAAAATTGCAATGTAGGGTTGAGCTATTATTTAAAGAATTCTTTTAAATAATTCACTGTAACTTTAATTTAAAAGAATTTACGTTAATTGGTGACGTTACATTTTTTTTTTTATAATACTGTCATCTTTGAAATTAATAAGTGCATTCTAATATTTTATTTCATACTAGTCAAATGAAGTAGAAAATTTATGTATACTCGTAAAAAATTAAGTCTCTATTTGATAAGAAAAGTCTATTGAAATAATTATTACTGAAATACGTGCAAAATTATTTATGTACAATTCCATTGTTAACTTTATTTACACTGCAAGTATAAAGTAAAAATAGAATATTAGAATGATATAAGCGTTAATATCAAAATGTAGATAAATAGAGAGATAAAATCAAGATTTAGATGACTTAAGATTTGTGTAATTTCTTTAAGATAATATTTTTTAGTTTTTTTTTATAAATCCAACATGAGACTTAACGTAATGCAATAAAAGAGTTGCTATTATATTCCTATTGTTCGCGCATATTTTTTAAAGAAAAATTTATTGTACGTCGTTTGCTTAGGCGAGTGCTATTGTATGGCTAACATTTTTTAGGTATGGGCTTTAACAATATGCGGATTTTAATAAATAGTGCGAGGTCAACGGTCTTATTTGAAGAATAGCCGCGCTCATCAAATAACATTTAATTACTTAATTGAAAATCTAAATGACGAGTCTTATTATTTCACTACTTATATTGTCCAACAATTAACCGGAAAACATTATAACACAATAAGTTTTTTAAACAGTTTTGTTTTATGTGGTTCTATTCAGATCACTTAATTTGGGAAATGACAAATAAATAGCAATAATGAAAAGAGGTAAACATATTAATTAAAATCTAAGAAATTATAACTACCACTCGATACCTACAAAAAGGTTACATTTATCGATTTGTGTAATATTCTTTGCTATAAATTATGCATTGAAATTCCAATTATTTTAATATTATATTGTTAAGAAAAATAATTAATAACTACTAATAGTTATTTAATTTTATAAAATAACGTTTATGTATTAAACTTTAAAGATTTGATTGGAAAATTTATCATGATTACATTTTTTGTCAAATGAATAAAATAAGTAATATTTTTGTTGAAAAAAAATAGTAACATCATTTTAAAATCCTTAACTTTATTATTTTTATATTTATGCAATTGTTTTTGTAAATTGATGAAATATTTATAACCAGTGTAATGTAAGAAAATTGACGCGAATCGGGGGATATGCACTAAGTATTTGAAGAGATGAGTGTGTCCAACAAACCACATTATAAAACACCAGAGACATCAACGAGGAGGTATCAGTACTGCGAGTACGTTAACTTTATAATGTTATTGTCATGGTTTAAGTGTATTTTACGTTATTTATTAATAATAACATCTGAACACTAAGTATTTATATAAAAATTTTAAATTCTATTTATCATATGGTAGTTTAAAATAACAATACTTTTACTTGATATAGAGATATTTTTCTAATTAAGGTAAGTAAAATTAATTTTTTTATACATATATTTTTTTTATAAGTTAAAACAACCAAAATTTTACCATGCTGCGTTTTTTTATTTAATAGGTTTTTCTGTTTTTCAAGCGTAATTAAATACAAATTTAGGGAATACTATTGAATTTTTTACAAGAATATATTAATTTTAAAATTTAGCTACTTGTAATTTATTATAAGATACAATTCATACTTGTAAAATTACCAAATATTAATTTTGAGTTTATGTTCATTGAAATTAAATGGTTCTTTTTAATAATAATAAATAGGTTTGAAGGGTTGTATGGATTAATTTTGAACGTAACGTTTACTATGGCGTTCTGGTTTAGAATTATTTTTTATGAACCCTGAAAGATACATTATAAAGATATCAATATTTTCTATATAGTATCTAAAACGACTGACCGCATTATAACAAAAATGTTCATTGTAAATGCTTGCACGTAAAATCGTCACGTTATAGATTTTTAGAGCCAAATATTGTCATGTTTTAGATATTTGTCTAAAAAAATAAAATTGATAAATAAGAAAATATTAATTTAATTAGTTAAATTGTTTAAAAAAAAATTATAAAAGCAAGTACAATTTTTTGTTTTTACATATAAAAAGCAATAAAAAAAACCACCCCCAGGGTTATTATGTAATATTTTAGTGATTTTTGGAAATCAGGCATTTAAATAATTATCGGTGTTATTAGAACATAACTAAGATGACCCTGAATTAACTGTTTTTATTATTTTAACCAACACCTACTAATATGACCCAGAACAAAAAAGAATAGGTAATAAGAAATCTGATTTCGGAAGCTCTAATATTCCTGTCACATAAACTTGCGAGGCTTATGACCTCAAGCGGAATACCTACTTCGTTTATAATAATGGCTTGATCATTAGTCGTCCAGTTCGATAATCATGCATGCTATTGACATGTCTATTCAGTGTTTAAAACTAAATTTAAATTGCATTGAATATTATTTACCCAATACATAGACATATATAAGATGTTATATACATATAACATGTATATGAATTTTAGTTAAGACTAAAATTCTATAAAAAAGTATTTATATAAGTTTATATATATATATAAGTGAATTTTTATTTTGATACTTTTAAACCATATAAAACAATACATCCAACTCAGTATAATGTAAAGTGTACATTCTTAANTTTTAAACCATATAAAACAATACATCCAACTCAGTATAATGTAAAGTGTACATTCTTAAAATTCTATTTAAAAGTCAATTAGTTAACAAAATGATAAAAAAGTCTGTTTGTTTGTATTTTATGTGCGTTATCACTGAGTTTTATCGAAATAATACGTGTTTTTTACGTGTATAACAAATGAGTACTATATCTATTTTCTGGTATTACAAAAATTATCTTTACTATTATATTACAATTTATGACAATTAATAGTTTTTCTATTGAGGTCAATGCACAACTAAGAATCAGGGTTGTTAAAAAACATGTTAAAATACAAAACTGTATAAAACAAATAAATAGTTTAGAACCTATAAAAAGTTTCATAAGACCAATGTATATTTTGAAAACTTTGTGTTTTAAAAGTAACCCAACTCATCCTTGTCAAGACTGTAAATTATTGTTTTGAAATCAATTAAATTTTTAAAAATGTAAACATTTTTTTTTTTTTGTTATTCAATATAAAACAAATTTCTTGTGATGACTTGTATTGGTATATTTATTTAATTCCTTAATATATAATTATTAAAAAATATATTATCTATAATAATTATAAGTAATATATTTTAAATACATGTAGACAAGTATTGAAAAGATTTGTTATCTTCAAAGCATTTTTAAAAACAAATAGAACTTTTACATATATGATTATGTGATCTCAAAAATATACTTAACATATGAATTTAACTTAATGTATTAAATTGTAAATCATTACATTCAAAAACATGTTTTTGTTTAAATTAAAATGAAAACTTTTAATAAAAACAAGCCATTATGCGTGCTTGTTAAATACTAAACTTTTTTTTCAAGCTCACTTGCTATAATTTCAAAAGAGATTTTTTTACAAATTTAATGAAGTTTATTTGAATTTAATTTATATACTACCCATAATCATATAATCCTTTATAAATTATATCTGAGCTCAGCTGTGGTTTATATCTTATAAGTTAAATAAACGACTTCTAGATTAAGCAATTAGAGTATACGGTTATAGTACTGTTTTTGTTAAACTAATTGCCATAAAATTTAAAAGGATTTCTAAGTTTAATATATATATATACTTATATAATACCAATAATAAAAGTTAAGTTTAAGAATATTCACGTTTATATGAATAAAACTTAGTAATTTGTAACCAAAATATAAAAATGGAATTACTAATAAAAAATATAGAAATAATTGTTTTAATGATTTCTTTAATTGTTTACTAACAACATTCTTTAAAGTTTTATTATAAAATATTAAATTCTATGAATTATTTATTAAATGAGTGTTTATTTAATAGTAAAAAATGTTGTTTTAAAATTATAATTCATTTAAAATTTTGTAGTTATTCATAGATCTATTAAATTATTTAAGACATGACCTTTATGATACCTCTTTATTAAATAGTGTAATTGTTACTCGCATGTATTAACGTAACTAAAAGCTAATTTTAATTATCAAAAAGTACAGTTTCTTTAGCTTAATTTTCAACTCTATCTATGAGATATAACAACCTGCATTGTGGTTAAGAATGTGAATCCATCAATCAAATCAATTTGTCATGGGGGGGTTGTCAGAGAAAACTTCAATTGGGTCAGTTTCAGGTATCCGTGAATAATTCAAATTGATTTATTTTCGTTCTTCATAAAATCACTTTTACTGAAGATGTTAAATTCAAGTATATTATTTATTTAATAAAAATCTATCGATTTGATATAAATACTCAATATTAGCTTAGAAATTTAAATTTAGAGATAAAAGTATAATTTTATTTTAATTTCGAGAATATCGAGAATATCGAGTTTAATGTTTTTGTTTTCCATACAATACCAACATAAAATAATAATCTATTTTTCGGGTATTTTTTTTTTCTAACCATAACTACTACTAATATTAAGTTTGGCTGTATTACAAAAATCCACTATTGGACTTATTTGAAAAATTAATTAAAACTATCCAAAATGAACATCCGTTTTCATATCAATGGAATATTTTACTTAAATATTATGTTTTATTTGTTGTTAACCGATGACTAATGCACAATTTTTAAATGACTAATGCCCTCTATACTGAAGTAATATAGAGAAACACCTTATGTGAAATACTAATTCTTGAGATGAAAGTACACAAACAATAAACTAATATTACGCAAGAGAAGCAAACACAACGAAAATGTTATGTTTGCCAACAAATAAGAATTAATATTTTTAGTTTTCTTTAGTTCTTAAAGACATGTGCTACAGACATGAAATATAAAATCGACAATCTAAAGGATCATTATTTATAAGGATTTTATCCTTATTTTTATTTCATAATAAAAAGCTATTACGGATAATTTCAATAATAATTAATAATTTAGAATACCCGAATATCTTATTAATACTTATTTTTTGTTAAATATAAGTAATTTTTTTTTTTTTTTATATATATAGTAAAATTGCCATCTTACTATTATAATAATTTTGAATGAAAATCATTATTTAATGTCTATAAGTTTTGTTTTTACTTAAATAATTATTTATAGAAAATATAAAGTCAAAATGATAATACAGATTTATTTTTTACATTTATTGTTAATATTCATACTGAATATTGGCTTAATACTAATAATAAAATGATTTCATCAAATCGTGGATGTGTATTTAAGTAATAAAACACTAATTGATTGTTAAAATTAATTTAGCAATAGCAAATTAATTAGTATAACAAAACAGTATTTTTATATCGTCGAATAGGCTAACTTGATAAACTAAATATCTATTATCATTTTGGACGTATCAATCTACAGCACTAGTATAATATTTATGAGTCATAAATAACATAAAAAAACCCAGTATAGTGGAATTGCAGCACAGTGGGGACGTGTTATAGTTGGGTTCAGTATAGATTTAATCTGACAGTGATTAAAATCACTATCATAAAAAATGCCCCTTCGATGCAAATCTGTAGATAATGTTTAATTTTAAAAACTTTTTGGATTATTCCAAAAGCAACATGATATCTTGATTACAAGTTTTATGATTTATAAGTGTAATATATGTATAAATATTTATAATAGCAATTAAATATAATATGAAACTGATATTTAATAATTTAGTATTGTAATTTTTACGGAGAAATTATAAAAAATTATAATGTAGTTATTATTTTTATGGCAAACGTATATAAAAGTTTAAGGTCTTGATGCAATACTTAAAAAAAAAAATTGTTTGTTATTTATAAATATATTTAATATAGCAAATATTTATGTTTCCTTATTAGGTTACGTATGAATAATAAAGATATATATTTTAATTAAAAATATTCTGAAAAAGTATTATTTTCTATATGCATTTTTAAGTTTTGACCCCTATGTATAAAGGGACATTGACCGATTTTAAAAAATTGTATGTGACATAAAAGAAATATATAAATAGTACTTATCATAAAAAAATTGTAATGATCCATACATTATTTTTTATTAAGTTAACACCTCTATAAGACAAAGGGATGAATATGAAAAATATTTTATAACAAATAAATGGAAAAATATATATAACTAGCAAAAGCAAAAAAAAAATTCACAACAAATTTCAAAATCTCTTGTATAGAAAAACAATAATGACTGAAATAAAAATATATTATTATCAAATAATATATTATAAATTTTTACTTATATAGCTATATATTTGTAGCCAGTGTTTAGCACTATTTTACATAAAAAATAATTCATGGATCGATAACAACTTTAGAATAAGTAATTACTAAGTTCAAATATTTTAATACTCATAGTGTGTATATAAAGCAGCTGGAATATGCATTATGAAAATACACCAGTATAAGATGTACCTAGTTGTGCTAAATACCAATTTTATGTATTAAAAATGCTTGTAACTCAATTATTACTTGTCTTATACCCATTATTAATTTTTTTAAAAGTGATAAAAACTAGCTATTTTGAAAAAATTGGCATATCAAAAAATGCCCTATTTAAATTATATTTATGCGTATAAAATTATTTTAAAATTATCTCTTCTAAAATGTTAGAAAATGTTGATATAAAACTCATTTAACAAATGGATATTCAACTATTATTTTAAGTAAAATTGAGCAGCTAGCGTCAAAAGAATCAAATTGTATAAATTTACCAGGGTGATTATTTTAACACTAATTTGCTTGATAATAAATTAACATGACTCAGTCAATAGGTTGTCACGTGCCTCTGTAATACCTCCCTTCTAAATACTCAACTGATATGAATTTGATTACTGATTTTTTAAAAATTGAAATAATTTTTAAACATGCGCAATTATGAACAATTCAGATAATAAAATTTGTGCTCGGAGTCTTCGCAAATGATTTTATTAGGGTAATGTTGCTGTGCTCTTTCATTTATAAAAAAATTGAATATAGATGTTCAATAAGCAGTTTTTCCAGAATTAGCTAGATATTTACATATATCTTAATAGAATTAATATTCAACTATAGTTTTATAGACTTCAGCATTTGATTTTCAAAAACAAATTTCGTACATAAATATTCAAAAAAAAATTGTTTATATTTATTATTACTGATAGTAGTATAATACGAAACATTATAATTTCATTTAAACATAAAATTATGTATTTAAAATATTTAGGTAAAAAAAAAAAATCAGTATTTAGTATCAAATAAAAATATTTAATTGTCTATTCTATTTTTTCCATTGGGTTTTACAAGAAATAAGTTTAAAATTTCATGGTCATGAACATATGTATTGTCTTAGTTGGGAGTTATTTGTCATTTGACCAGAGTACTGGATAAGTCATCCATAAATATGTTGGGCATTACAGCTGAAGATGTCACGATCAAGACTTTTTTTAACGAAGTTTTGTCGATAAAGCAGACGGCAATAGTCCTGGGATTTAAACGTTTCCCGCAAATTTCCATTACCATCTGAATTATACATATCTATTCAATCCTTTTATCGTCTTGAAGGTCGTCGCACTTTGAACAAAATCCAAGATGCCTAATGGTAAATAATGAAATAATGTTAACTATGTATGAGTATGGTGAGATCACTAACAACGAGAGTAAAAAGTCATAAATCTCAAAGGGAAAAAAAAAGGAATAATAACAAATGTTATTATTCAATTATTTCTCGGCGGATGAAGTGTCACAGAATAATGGTGCAAAATTCTGAGGAACTATAAACATCAGCGGTGCTTGACCTTTGCCATGGAATAGTTGGATAACATTTACGACTGGAGCGCAAAACCATTTAATGCGTTGACTAATATGAATAATGTAATTGTACTTTCTTGTACACGTTTTTCTTCCCTTTTGGGCTATTTTTGCCCATTCGATTTTATGATCGTGTCTCTATGATTAATACTATACTTCAATAATAAGTATTCCAAAGTTTAATGGCAAAGACCTTGTTAAAAAGCGTTATCAATTAAATTTTTAATTCAAAGCCTACCACAAGACTAACCTCGACATCCAATAGTTAACGATTTGTATGACACCATAGTTTCGATAATTTCGAGTATTTAGTTTCTAACTATTATATTCATAAATTTAGTCCCAGCACTATTGATCTTAAAATTGACTTATATTTTAAAAAAGCATAAGTCTTGCAAGTTTTGCTAATTTTTGTTACAACTTAATAATTGAATTTTTGTATTTATTTATAAAGCTATATATTTATTAAATAATATAGGAATATAATTGATTAATTAATTTTCCTATATTGTTTTAGTTTGAATGCAGTTATTGGTTTGACACAATTGTACCACAAAATGTTAAAATGTTGGACATTCACTCGACAACGATTTTGGCATTTTTTATTTGTGACATCAATTCAGGTAATATAAATTTAATTATGATGTCTCATATTCGCTGTGTAGTTTTAATATAATATTTTTTTGTAAGTTATCATCGTATGATATTAATTAAATATCACATACAATATAATTAACTCAAAAAAAGTGGACGTTTTGAATTAATTTGTATATTTTTATTCATATAATGTAGCAGTTTTTTAACAAACAATAATTTTTTTTTTTTTTTAAAGATTCATAAAATGAGCTTGTTTAAAAATGTTAATGGGATTGTGTTTATTATTAAATATTGAAATTTTATAAGCTTATTACTGAATAATTTTGAATAATTCGAATTACGTAGTTTTGTATTTTCAACAAATAGTAACATTGAANTTTATAAGCTTACTACTGAATAATTTTGAATAATTCGAATTACGTAGTTTTGTATTTTCAACAAATAGTAACATTGAATCGATAAAATAATTTTGTTTATTTTCACGATATTTTTAAAATAATTTCTCGCTAGACACAGAAAAGAAATTAAATTAAAGTTTTTAATTGAATACAATTATTGTATTAGGATTTCATAAACAGATTTATCATGAGCTACTTAATTAGTCAAAAAATGAAAATTATAATAGGATTTTTTTAATTTATCAATAATAGAATATTTTTTATGTTGATCCCTTATAATTTATAAGGGTGTCAATTTAAATTTTTCAAATAACAACACACATATTTAATCAGCATATTTAATAAATAATGACTTCATTAAGAAAACAACTGGTCAATATCAACTTTTGCACCAGTATTTTGAAAGTTATTAGCATGGTATAGTGATGGCTGGAGGTGAGACACAGATGTTGTTATTTTATCACTAGTCATTTCTCGGCCGCTCTCTTTTATCCACCTAAGTATAAAATAATTTTAATAACTTCTGAAATGCTGATCCAAATGTTATTAGTCATGTTCTTAATTAGATCACTTTATATTAAATAATCTATTTAATATACGTATGATGCCATTTGGTAAATTTCATTATTTTAAGGCATAATGAATGAATATAAAAAATACTTTATGATAGATAAATTGAAATAACAAATACCTAAAAGAAACTAAAAAAAATTCTCATCAGTATTTTTATATTTTGACTAAATGAATGATTCATAACAAATGAATCGCTCTGTATAAGTTATTGTTGTCTAATAAAAAATTAACTACGTAGCTCGAAATATTTGATTTTTTCTCAAGAATGTAATACTTGAAGCATTGCTATATATTTAAATAATATTTGCGATAAAAATATTGTTTTTCTTGTAATGATCGAACAATCAAAAAATTAATTTTGTTATTATTTACACAAAAAGAAAATAGCCTCTTGTTCTTTTTTAAGTAATTCGATGAACCAAATAAGGACAACGGCAATATAAAACTATTTATTTAAAAACTATTAAAGGTTAGTGCGACACTTTTGTTAAGGCTAGCTTTAATATATACATGAGAAGATAAACTTAATGGTAATTTGAACTTGGTACAAATATATTTAGGTTATAGTTAAAATAATATTTTTTATAAAATTAATCTTGAGCTATTAAGAACTATGAACTATTATTTTTACTAAAGATGATTATACTGCTACATATGTTAGTGAGCTATTTTTGCTTTTAGAATTTTGTGTTATATAATTTTGATGTAGTCGTTATTGTAACATATTGAACATTAAATTTGTATGACCTATAAATGAAATTATGTAAATAATATTCTACTTTGTTTGATAATATGCATACTTAATATGCATACTTATTAGATTAAAAACTTAGAAAGGTCAAGCGGATAATTTTTTAATAAATCGTGCAAATTAAAATGACATTTTTTATTTTTTTCCATACTTTTATTATAGACATAAAAGTAATAGTTTTTGTTTGTAAATTCTCTATATTAATGTATATATTTTTTACAGTGGTACACTAGAAATGCCTCTAAAAATGTCAACTCCCAAAGCGCAAGTCTACCCTATGCTCCTCCCTAAATATATCTCTGTGTTTTATTAAGTTAATTACTTGAATAACTTAAACCAACGAAGTAATAAATATAATGAACATTTTCTCTCTGGGTAGTATATTTATTACTATTGCATAATGTTTTAAATCTTTAAAATAATATAAATAAATAATGATTATAAATAAACAAATACTTCATTAATACCAAAAATAATTAGTCTCGTTATAAAATTTTTTTTTTTTAGAAACCAATTTAAATCGTTAAAAAAGTGATTACAATTTATTCATAATGAAACACATGGTATATTATGCATGTAAATTTTAATTACCTCTCTAGAGTACCAAAATTTATTTAAATATATTATTATTTAGATCTGTGGTTAATTCATAACACCTGGTTAAAATAAAATACAACCGTTAATAACTGTTTTAAACATAACCAGCCTTGATCATTAAAAAGTTGGCTTGATCATTTTATTGTCAATATTCAGAATATATATTGAATTTCGTCGTATTTCGAATAGAATTCACGAACATTAAAATTAATATTAATACATTTGGCACCTTTACAAACCATTGTTATATATTGCATAAAAAATAATATCATATCGTGATCTTAATTCATGGATTACTCATAAATTTTAATTCGATTTGTTGTTTACCCTTGACATGCTAGATATGTCGTAAATTATTTACATTTTATTGAATCATCTAATTTTTGTATCATAGGACTACCTCTGTATCTGATTTATTTCCTAAATAATTTCAACTGTCCAAAAAATTCATTGAACTAAAAACGCTGTACTTAATAAGTTAATCTTAAAATAATTACAATTTTTAAGAATTCTAAAAGAAAAGATTGGATTTTTATATGAGAATTTATAATTGATAAAAATAGTAACTAGCCTTCTAAAAATAAATAAAAAATAATATAATAGAATTTTTCAATTGGGGTTATAGCCTTGTTAGCCATTCTGTGTACGTCACTGGAACAATACATAAATTAAGATAATTTATTTGGTTTTTAATCTTGTTTTATCAGTCTAGTAGAGTCTGAAACCTTTTTAACTCTATAATTAGTTGTTAATGCAAATTTGATAAATCATTAGATACATCTAAGTGTTTTAAGTTTGTCTCTTTAACTTTTACATATGTTGAAAAAATATGTATTATGCAGACATTATGGATGTTAAGCTTAGTAAACGGGCATGGAAGGTTGATGGATCCACCATCTAGAAATAGTATGTGGCGATTTGGATTTCCAAATCCCGTTGATTACAACGACAATGAGCTTTATTGTGGAGGATACTCCGGTAAATATAATTTTTTATTGTATTTGTAAATTGAAATTTATTAATTAAGATGAATATTCATAAAACTTAGATTGTAAAATAAAATACAATTGTGTTTTTTTGACAGTTCAATGGTCCCAAAATGATGGTAAATGTGGAGTGTGTGGGGATGCTTATAATCAACCTTCACCAAGATTGCACGAAGCAGGTGGTGAATATGGCAGAGGAATAATCAGCAGACATTATTTTTCAGGTCAGGTAAGGTCAATTCTAATATATTATCCTTAGAATTTCATAGAGCTTGAAAACATTTTAGGTAGTTAAGCTTTAATGTTAAAGATATACAGATTGATTTATCATTGACCATTTAACAAATCTGCACTATGCCTCCAATTGTTAATAATAAAGTGTTAATAACTTCCAAAATACTGGTCCAAAAGTTGTTAAATACCAGTATTTTTTTTTAAGTTAATTTAACATATAATGTAATATTATGTAACAAATAACATAGTATGTCCACTTTAAAAAAATTCAAGTTGATAATATTTTAAAAGAAAGAGGGAGAAATGGGAAGGACTAAATTTTGTTTCAAAAATTATAAAACATATGATATTATGAACTTCTTAAAAGAAACAATCATAATTTATAATTCGTAAGGCGTAATTAATTGGTTATTCAGTAAATGTATACAATATGCTCGATTAAAGATAAAACACTCAATTTGACAGAGTTAATGAAAATTCTACTTTTTTGTAAAGACAAAAATCATTTGGTCCAAAAAAATCTATAATAATGTTTAGCTAAATAACTATTTTTTTCTATACCTTCAGAGATAAAAATACTTAACTACAATTTTTTTTATTCGGCAAGCTGTCTTAAACATTACATTATCTTAAAACACAGTGAGTATGTAACACGAGTGTAGTGCATATACGACAATACAAACTATATCCAGCAGCATATATATTTTAAAATAATGTAAAGTATGTTCATTGGATAAAAAAAAAAATTTAATATAATATTTTTTTCTATTGTATTATCGATTTATAAACAGAGGTTCTTATTAAATAAAATTAAAATTAAGGTTTGTTGATTCTAAAGAGATAAAAAACTATATACTAACGGCATAAAATTAATTATTAAAATAATAATAAATAATTATTTTCATGGGAAAATTATTGAAATAAAATTTTAACGTAATAAAACAAACTAATCAACTAATTATAATACATAAAAATATTTTTCTATATTTTTAATTATTATCATTTTAAGTAGGATATTTCAATTAGTTCCATTGTTTATAAATGACACTGAATATATCTTTATTTAAAGTATTTAATTACACTGGTCAACACAAATTTTAAGTCTGGGTTTAAAATAAATTGTAACTGATGTAAATTTTAATTAAAATGTAACTCATAAAAATTTTGGTTTTTTAGCTATAATAATAAAATAACAAATTATACTAAAAGTCAATTTTTTTTTTATATATTCATTTATTGGGGGGTCGCGATACAGTGGTAACGTGGCATAGATGGATCAAGTATAATGATATCTGACAGTGATTAAAATCACTATAGAAAAAAAACGCTTCGATGCAAATCTTTAGATAGTTTTTTTTAATTTTAAAAAATTGGTGGATTATTCCAAAAGCTACATGATCTGCTAATTAATTATTAATATCCTAATTAAGATAAAGTATGTCGAATGAAAAAGGGATATTAAAAAATATTATTTCTCATAAAAAAATAATGTTGATCCATACACTTTTCAATATGTCATAGCATTATAAAGTTAAAAATGTAAAAAATAAAATCGAGAATTTTCACACAATAATAGCATTCGGTAGCCATTTTCACCGTGAAGATAAAATAAAGTCCGAAATTTTTTTTTTGCATAATAAAGTAAATTACATTAGCTTTAATTTAAGATATATATAAAAGTGTCAGACTTTCCGGAACACTTTCAAAATTTAAGTTGAAAAAGTTAATTTTTTGTGAAAAAGTTGTCATTTTGAATCCCCCCCTGTAGGCAGGTAAAAAGTCAGATTTATAAAAAAAATATACCAAATGATAGGTAAAGACATCATGCATCTACAAAAAAAAGAATTATATTGATCCATACATCTTTCGAGAAGTTATAGCATTATAAAGTTAAAAATATAAAAAAGAATTTTTTTACAAAAATCGTATTTTTTTTATTAAGTTTAATGTCTGTTTTCACCATGAAGATAAAATAAAGTCCGAAATTTTTTTTTACCATTATAAAGTATATTACATTAGCTTTAATTTAAGATATATATAAAAGTGTCAGACCTTCCGGAACACTTTCAAAAGTTAAGTTGAAAAAGTTCTACTTTCTATATGCATTTTTATGTTTTGAATCCCCCCTGTATTTAGGGAAATGGTCCGATTTAAAAAAACAGTATGTCGAATGAAAGATCTATATAAATACTACTTCTCATAAAAAAATTGTAATGATTCATACATTTTTCAAAAAGTTATAGCATAATAAAGTTAAAAATGGAAAATACAAAATCGAAAATTTTCACACAAAAATAGCATTCGGTAGCCATTTTCACCATGAAGATAAGATAAAGTCCGAAATTTTTTTTTTTCATGATAAAGCATATTACATTAGCTTTAATTTAAGATATATATAAAAGTGTCAGACCTTCCGGAACATTTCAAAAGTCAAGTTGAAAAAATTAATTTTTTGGGAAAAAAGTTATCATTTTAAATCCCCCCCTGTGGGCAGATAAAGGGTCAGATATGAAAATAAAATATACCAAATGATAGGTAAAGACATCATGCATCTATGAAAAAAAGAATTATATTGATTTGGTTATTTTTAAAAAAGTTATAGCAATTTTAAGTAAAAATAATTGAAAAAATTTCGAAAATTAGTGATTTTTAAATTTGTAATTTTTTTGGAGGTTTCCCCCATTTACGGGGAACAAGGGAATTTTTTTCAATTTTTGAGGGTAATGTCTTCGACTAGATACGATTTGTGATCTTTTGACGTATCGTTGAAAGAAATCCGTTCGGTGAGAGCTGAGAAAAAGTGGTAACAGACACAAAAAAAAAAAAAAAACAGCACAGGGGGGTCGCGGCACAGTGGTGACGTGGTATAGATGGATCAAGTATAATGATATCTGACAGTGATTAAAATCACTATAAAAAAAAAACGCTTCGATGCAAATCTTTAGATAGTGTTTAATTTTAAAAAATTGGTGGATTATTCCAAAAGCTACATGATCTGCTAGTTCATTATTAATATCCTAATTAAGATAAAGTATGTAGAATGAAAAAGGGATTATTAAAAAATATTATTTCTCATAAAAAAATAATGTTGATCCATACACTTTTCAATATGTCATAGCATTATAAAGTTAAAAATGTAAAAAATAAAATCGAGAATTTTCACACAATAATAGCATTTGGTAGCCATTTTCACCGTGAAGATAAAATAAAGTCTGAAATTTTTTTTTTGCATAATAAAGTAAATTACATTAGCTTTAATTTAAGATATATATAAAAGTGTCAGACTTCCGGAACATATTCAAAAGTCAAGTTGAAAAAATTAATTTTTTGGGAAAAAAGTTATCATTTTAAATCCCCCCCTGTGGGCAGATAAAGGGTCAGATATGAAAATAAAATATACCAAATGATAGGTAAAGACATCATGCATCTATGAAAAAAAGAATTATATTGATTTGGTTATTTTTAAAAAAGTTATAGCAATTTTAAGTAAAAATAATTGAAAAAATTTCGAAAATTAGTGATTTTTAAATTTGTAATTTTTTTGGAGGTTTCCCCCATTTACGGGGAACAAGGGAATTTTTTTCAATTTTTGAGGGTAATGTCTTCGACTAGATACGATTTGTGATCTTTTGACGTATCGTTGAAAGAAATCGGTTCAGTGAGAGCTGAGAAAAAGTGGTAACAGACACAAAAAAAAAAAAGAAACATCTTAGTAAAACCAATACTTTCTCAGCTTCGCATCGAAGCTAAAATGGTGTATATTTTTTAAAGTTGTAAATAATTATTAGGTTTAGGGTTATTTTATAGGAAAGTTATTCTTAAAAAAAAAAGAATACATATTATTATCAATCAAAATAATGTTTTTTCAATTATGAATGTACGAAATTAGTAACATTAGTTCCTCAAAAAAAAAAATACCAAATTTCCTTCGTTAGGTATACTAAATCTAATAACAAATTTTTAAATTCATCTAAACATTATCAACCATTTATTATTCCTTATTATATGAAACATCCATAAAAACCTACGTATTTATTGAACAACATAAAAAACACAAGACTAATCTTTAACAAAAAATAATGGTAACTATAATCTTTTATAGACTTATGGAAACAGAAAATTAACATTTTAATTAACATCAACTAAACATATTATTTTTTTTTTGTTGACCTGTGTTATAGTTACATTATTTTTAATCCACTTATAAAGTATTTTTATAATTTATTATTTGTATTTACAAACGAAAAGTTAATCGAGTTTTAAAATTTACTTACATTAACATGACTTTATCTAATTTACTTTAAACAAATATTTTATTTTTCATGCGGTTTTTAATCACAAAATGCATAAAATAAAACTATCATAAATAATGAATTATATTTTTATTTATAAAATAACAGAACAATTACTTATAAACTCAGTAAATTTCATGAATACCTAATCAAAATAATGGAAAAGCAATATTTACCTTAACATCCTTTAACATATTATTTATATTTCGTTTACTTTTTCGTTAAGTAAATCTATTCACTACTATCTTGTAAGTAATTTACTAATAATCCAGTGTTCCATTTAAAAATATCATAAAAAGCGAATAAAATGAAGTACAATAATTGTAAAAAATAGTTAATTATTAACCATTTTTTATAATTTTATTTTATGTGCGATTGAGAAAATATATTTAAAGCTAAGATGATATAATATATTTTTAATTTTGATATAGACTATTGAAGTTGAAATTGAATTAACAGCTAATCACAAAGGACGATTTGAAATGTATCTTTGTCCGAATAACAATCCGCGTTATGAAGCAAATCAGACTTGCTTTGAGAGGTATTTTATATTAAATTATTTAACTTATACTGAACAACAAAAATATAAAGACAGGGTAATTGTGTATTATTTTGAGTATTTAACCACTAATTTTATAATATCTATTAATACATGTTTCATTTATTAATAATTTATTTAATAATTAATTTCAGAACATTTATTTATCAATATTCAAAAATAATATTTCAAGAATCTAGATATATTTGATACTTTGAAAATATTATTTAATTTATTCTTTAGTCATAATAGTATTAAGACTAATCATTAGAATCATATTAATCAATTTTTTTTTATCCTATAAATCGCCTTTTTAACTAATCTATTTAATTCTTTATTAACTGGCTTTTGTAGATTTTTTTGAATAAGTATCACCGTTGCTGTATGTTTTAACAATTTCTGTGCATTACAAACATTCATTTTTACTCCAGATTTCTTTAAAATATCATAAATTGGACTCCACGGTTTGAGAGTTCAACTTGCTTTAAAGTCATATTTTTACTCTTTTCTTGATCAGTAGTTATTTTCCTCTACCCTTGTAGTAAGTTATAAGTTACTTATAATGTTAATTTTTGAAGTGTTTTTTAATACATTTATTATGTGTACACCTATTTTTACAATATTATAACGTTAAAATAATCAGATAATAAAAAAAAGGTATTGCCTTTAAAATTTTTTCGTATAAAATAGTGCTAATATTTATTAGCTAATTTAAGCATTTATTGTACTTCTATTAGTTTATTAAATCCTTAATATATAAAATTAAATTAACCCTTTGGATAAATGATATAATAAAATGAGCAGGTTACATAAATTATTTGTAGATTTATTTTTTAGAAATCACCTTTGATCATTTTGTCATGAAATTTCTACATAAATTATTGATGGTTAAAACTTTATTAAGAGGATATTAGCTCTAAAATTATGCATTTTAGTAAAGCTCAAGGCGTTCTCAAAATAATACAAAATAGTTAGAGATTTAATAAGAGAAAAGTACCTGTTGTATACCCATTAATTGCTTGTTTACAAATATGTATTTTTAAACATAACAAAAAAAAATTATATTCATTATTGGTAGAAACAATAGTTTAAGTATAAATTTAAGTGCTATATAATATTTTTATTGTAAACAACTAAAGTAAATATAATACAAACATTTTTAAGAGAATATTAAGAAACATCTATTACGTTTAAATCGGTCTGTTATAGTACAAAACTTTTTTTTTTATTATATAGTATTTCATAATGTTTTATCAGTACTTATGATATGGGTTTTATTGGATGTTTATATAATTCATTTAATATTTTTTTAATTCTTATCTTGTTTAAGGTACCCATTGTATTTATCAGGAACTCGGCAAGTCCGCTATATCATTCCATCTGAATCGAAAAAAAAAGATATATTTAGGTATAGAGTAAAATTACCACCATACGTAACTTGTACTCAATGTGTTATTCAATGGACATATTACACTGGTAATTAGCATAACGCCCTAAAAATATTTAAAAACTTTTATTTTATTTAAGAAGAAATTACAAATATATTACAGTTAAGGAATATTTATAAATATATGAGTGTATAAATAGATACAAGTGAAAATAATTAAAAATTTGTTTATTTATGTCAATATTCATATTAAATGAAATGTAATAAGATAGCTAATAATCAAATTTACTTGAATGATAAAAAAAGAAAGTAATAGCCCACATATATAAAAATAAATTGCTTTTTCAGGGAACTCATAATATAAAAGTTTTGTATAGTGTAAAGTTTTTTAATCATCTAAGTTATATGAAAATGTTAAACATATGCTAATTTTTATAAAAGTATTTAAAGAAACTTCATTGTAAAGTTTCTAATAGGAACTATTTACCTACAAAATTAAATATATTTAGAAAATCAAATTTTGTTCAATATTTAAATAAATGAAATACATTAAGCTTAATTATATTAACTTAATTGTATTTATGTTAAATATTGTTATTTTTTATATTATTATTAATGCCACATTTTACTATTATTAAAAATGTATGTAATACACTAAACTTTTATATTTTCAAAAATTTCAATGATTTAGGGAATAAAGGCCAATAGAATTTATATCTGGTTATTAAGCATTAATACATAATAATAATATTAATAAATAAACTGTAAAATGTATTTCCTACTGTTATTTTTTCTCATTAATGTAAATCCACTGTTAAAATAACAAGACAGATATATTTTGCAGCATTTCTGAATTATATGAATCTGCAGCTGGAAGTTCTAAGATTTAATGGGTTCTGATTAATTTGAAATTGAAAAAAAAAGTTTAATTTCTGTAAGGAGAAATTTTTACAGAAGTTATTTTATTTTTATTACATTTTCTAATAATTTCTGTAGTTATATCTAAAAATTATTTTTTATAAGTATAATTTTCTATTTTTTTTTTGAGACTAATCAAATATTTTGGTATTTAAACTTCCTTCAACTTCAGTTTAAGTAAAAGTGTCTTTAAATAGTTTTTTTATACGTTTACTTGGTACTTGTCGATATCTTAGGTTAATTTAATAAGAAGGTAATTTTTTCAAAGTAAAAATTAAATTTTTATCCGAGATTTTATAAAAGACAGTATTAATTTTCGTTTTTTGAAGGAATGTGTGATTTAAATTATCTTTTGAGTATTTCATTCGTGCTATTAATGAATCATTAACTTCAGGTAACATGTGGGGCACATGTGAAAATGGCACAGAAGGATTGGGATGTGGTCGTCCTGAGACATTCAGAAACTGTGCAGATGTCCGAATAGTAACAAGTACTTCAGGAGTTCCTCCACAGTTCATTCATAATCGTCCACAATCAAATTCCTTAGCATTACTTCGAGGTATCGATAGTATAAGTATGGGTCCACAGGTTTATTACCCACTTGTAGTTAAGTACGTACCTGATACTATGAGTATTTAAATAATCAACCATTAAATTTGTTATCTCAACGTAATATTTTTAAAATTTGTTTTATTTTCATCAAAAAAATTATTTTAGAAAATAATAATAATGATCTCAATACTTTCATACGAAGGTTTGACGCGTTCTCAACCTACAAAGTCTACCTCGTTTTCTTCTTCTTCCTCGCTTGAATTCCAATTACTTGGGATCGGCCACCCTTATCCTAAACTTCCACTTGACACGATCTCCCACATCAGCTGCCCTCATATCGCATTCAATAACATCTCTCCATCTCTTTTTTGGTCTTCCTCTACCTCTTCTTCCTTCAACGTTCATTTCTATAACTGTTCTTACAGCTTCCGATTGTTCTCTCCTCATAACATGACCAAACCATCTAAGTCTATTTTCTCTGATCTTATGCACGATTGTCACTACACCCATACTCCCTCTAATATGCTCGTTCCTTAAAATATTGTTGATACCAAAAATAGTGTTAAAATTTAAATATTATTAAATTATTTTGGTGACCTCAGTCAATAAAAGCCAACCTTATACCCTACACATTTCACTATTTTCCTTTTATGAATTTTATTCATTTTAGTAAAATAAAATTGTACAATCATTAACAAAAAATTTTTTTAAGTGTTATTGGGATTAGATTATTGACAGTTTTCGACGAAATTTTCAGGGTATCCCAGAAATGTTTATAGATAAGACTGGTAAAAATTGCAAATTTAAATAAAAATAAGCTAAAGGTAAAGAGGCTTTTTATCAAAAAATGCCAACATTTTTAAATGCTCAAGGAAAGCTAAAATTTTTTTCTTATCTCCACAAATAATTTACCCAAAATAAAGTCGCCAAACTTTTCATTTTTAAAAAAAAATTGAAAATCGAAAATCATTAAATAATTTTTACAGCATTGTCAGAATTTTTAATGTCTTATTGTATAATAAGATAATTATATTTTTATGAATAAACATGATTTTAGTGGTATTACGTTTATGCATAGTTATGAATTTGTGGCTATTTTTTTCCGGGTTTTAATTTTTTTATGTATACGTGAAGATTTTTAATTGTAATATATACATAATTGATTAAAAAGTATATATAAATATATATAAGGAGAAAGAGAGAGAGAAAAACATTTTAAATATTACATAAATTATTTATAAAATATTTTTTTTCTTTATTATATAAAAACATTATATTTAAATTTATATTATGTAATTAAATGTTTGGTATTTTTTTAAAATTTAAGGATGTCTATTAATTTTTTATTATCTATTATATAATATAAGATATTTTATTAAGCTTAGGAATTGAAAAATATTTTTTGTTTTAAATCAGAGCTCAAGTTTGTGTCGCAACACGAAAATATAGAACAATATCAGGAATGGATAAATGGTGTGAAAGTAATTGTGTTAATTTTCCCTCTAATTGTCCTGAAGAGTACTGCACGTGTCCGTAAGTGTTTATTGTAATTAACTAAATGAAATACAGAGTGATTCTGTGTGTTTTGACAAATATTTTAACTTCAAAGCATCTTTTGATTTATTTTTCTCTATAACAAAACTTATTCTTACAGTAAAATAGTTATAAAAAATGTGCTTTATATAATTGACAATTAATTTGAAAGAAGTGTAAAAAGATGATTAAATCAACAAAAAAAGATATATCAAAATATGATGAGCCACCTTCTTTTTTTAAATTAATTAATGTTTTGAAATTAAAATAATTTTCTTTTTAGTGAACAATGCATAGGTATTGGAGAAATAGCTGGAAAGCCTGGAGCTGATGTATATTGTCAAGATAAATGTATTGTATATGGCGCAACTTGTCCAAAAAAACGATGTCTGTGTTATTGATTATAAGAATATAATTATGTATATTTTATAACAAAAAAAAAAAAATTAATATAAACGTTTTACATTATTTACCAATATATTATTAAAAACTATCACTCTCAACCTACATGTAGTTTTTAATAAAACAACTTAATTATTAAAAAAAAAAAACATGTATTTTTGTTGTAAATCAGCTGTTTTATCGTGATGGATAACGATATTAATTAAAACTTGAATACAAAAAGTTATCTAAGTATGCAGGTTTCGTAAAAATATTAGATGATCTAAATTCAAAGATAGCTATAAAGGTTTAAGATTATATTAACATTAATTATCTGTATTAATATTTTATAATTATGTTCATGCTATAACAATAAAATTAGATTTAATAGTCGTAATTTAATTAAAGATTTTTTGCATAAAAACGATTACAGCAACAAAACGTGCAAATAATTATATTTCAATGTAAAGGCCATGCATAGTTTTTATATGAAAGATTTAATCTATGTAGATAATTGTTATTTCGTAAATTAACAAAAAGTAAAATAATATTCATAATAAAAAAAATTCAAACTAAATAAACCAATCTGATTTACAGATTGTATCTGATATACAGAACATTCAAAAAGTAAAGAAAATATTCAATTGTAACGAAAAATAAGAATAATAGAAATATTTTTCCTAGCTTACTTTCTGAATAAGAAAAATGAAATAGTTATTTTCTTAAAATGTAGAATATACTTAATGAATATCAAAAAATACCGTCATCTATCTTGTTATTTTTATTAATTAATTGAAATATGATTTAAGTCAATTTTTATTATATTGATACCTAGTTTTAATATATCATCCTTTGAGGTAATTAAATATAATAATTCAGGTAAGGTGGAAAGATGATTTGTTTTTAACAATATTTTATTAATAAAAACTTAGTGATGAATTGCCTAATTTGTGTAACTATCTCACCACATTCACATAGCAACATCAATTCAAAAAGCAATGTTTTAAATTTCATAACATTTAACTAAAAAAATAGATATTTCTATAAATTATATACAAACTTGAAATAATTTGTTAGTAAAAAATATCAATTTTATTTAGATATATGGAAATATTATAAATAGGTAATATTTCCAAAACAGATGAAATAATTATTTAAAATCATTGGCGTGCGCACTTATCACACGTTACTATACAGGTGTTCAAAAAGTAAGAAATAGATTAATTGTTACAAATAATGAGAACAATAGAAATCCGTTTTCTTAGTTACTGAACACTCTATATATGATTTCTATACGAGTTGAAAAAATGACATATAAAGGTAAATACCTTTCAAGTTACTTGGTTCTTCTTAAAAATATCGGCTGTATAGGTAGGATTATTAGCCTGTACAACTTTTTCTGACCCAGACACAAATCATTGCGCATGCTTAAAACTTCTGTGATATATTTTTTTTAGATCATAACATCTACACAGCAAATGAAAATTTCTTGTCTACATATTTAAACTAGAATTAACTATTTTATTTTATTTAAACATAATACATAAAAAAGAGTAATTATTATAAAATAAACAGTAATAATTACTTTTTTATATAATCATTGACCAATAGAATAAATCACAGTATTTTAAATTGATAGTTCGTTACTGGTTTTTCATAGGACTTCTTATGAACAAATTATTAATACATTTTCTTTCATATATTTTGCCTATTTATAACGCCGTATTGTATGCTTAATAAATGAGTTAAGGCAAATCAAATGTCTAGGTAAAATTTGCATATTTCTTGATATAGTTTTATTAATTTATAAAGAAATTAAAAAAATATTATTTCGGGTACTAAAATTTATAAAAATATTTACAAACATTTAATGAACATATTTCAATTATACAATCTTATAAGTAATAGTAATTTAAATTACTTATGATAGTTTCGATAAATAATTTAATATATTTTTATTTTACAGCTTATTTGAAATCTTTTATTAAATATTAATTAATTATGTATTAGTTAAAAAATCTCTTAAAAATCTCTTTTAACATTTTTTTAACTCGAATATTACATTTATAGTGTTGGATCTAGAAAATATGTAAACTGCAAAAATAGATTTTTTTTGTAGTCCTTATTATTTTTAAAAAGTGAAATTATTTTTGCTTGCTAAGTAGATTTGTGAAGACTTGTGCAGTAGCATATCTTTAATCGTAATAAAATAAAATATCAACACATCTATTTTGTAAACGAACATTATTACTTTAAGACTTTGTATGATAGTCAACAATACTAATAATAAATTTATAATTTTTTATAATAGTAAACTTTTTAACTAAATATTGACATCTGTGAAGATGTACTAATCAAAAATATATGAACTCTATTGATTCATTAACTATTTAAGTATTTATTTAACCGAATATTTTAATTTCTTTAAGTACTACTTAAGTTCAAATTTAAAATTATATCCAAAGCATTAACTAATACTAAAAAATAAAACACATACTTGTATATATTTAGTGTTGATAATGGTAACATTGTTCTCGAGATACATATCTGAATTTTCTGTGATTTTCTAGTAATTTTTTTTTTTTTTGTGACTTTTGAGTTAAATAATTTTAATATGTTTATAATTTTACATTAATATTTTAATATAACTTTAAATAATATTAGCCACAAGTAATCAATTTATATTATACTACCTTAGTATTAATTGTAATAACATAACAAAATTTATCCAAGACAGTCTTAACTAATTAAACTAATATAACAAAAACATAAGTTTTTAATATGCTTATAACTATTTAAACATTTATTTCTAATATAATCATAATTTACAGGAGTAAACATTTAATTAAAGAAGCAAAGTTAGAAGAGGAAATTCGATAAATTATCTACACCACCAATCTGTAGAAAACAGGCAATCTGATTAACACAAATATTTAATTTAATTAAGATTGTATAAATAATTCCACTCAAATTCGATAAATTTCCAAAAAGTATTAGATTTTTTAATTTATTCAATCTTGTTATTTCTAATGTGAAATCGAAAATATAGTTAAAGACAGTCAATAATAAATCGTGGTAATAATTAGGACACGGACTTAAAAGTCCTGAAAATACATAAAAGTCCTTAAAAATTTCTAAAATTTCCTCATTAAAATGATAGAAGCATTCTAAAAATAAAAAATAAAAAATAGCACATAAAATATTAATGTATACTCTATAAAAAAGACTTCAAACAAAGAATGTTCAATAAAAATTGATCACTTGTGGCTAATTATTTTAAATTAAAATTATATTAAAAATATTTAACTTAAAAAGCCGCAAAAAAATTACTACAAATTGGCGGATACTTATTTCAGGAACAATGTTACTATTATAAACGCTAAACACATACTGACACTGTAACCGAAAAAAAAATCCTTTTATTTACCCCAAGTGACATTTTGCCAATTTACCCAAGTTTAAAAATTAATTTTTCAGAGGGCCAAGATCCCAATTAATTAAATTGTTCTTATTTTTAAACATTTCTAATGCATCCCTTACATTGTGCTCTTTATAATTACTTACGTTTTTAATTAGTTTTATGGTTTTATTGGAGTGATTATGTGACAATAAATGTTCGGGCACAGAAGATTTATCAACTTCTTGATTTTTAATGTTTCTTAAGTGTTCTATAAACTTGATCCCTATATTTCTTTTAGTTTATCCAACGTAACATTTATAACAACTTTCACATTATATTTTATAAATGCCCGATTTCTGTTCTTTTTTCTATTTTATCTTTAGGGTTATCTAATAAATCTCTTAAATTATTACTTTTAGATGTTACCAAAGTAATACCAAAATTCTTAAAAATTTTAGCTAGTCCATTTGAGATGATATCTGGATTATATTAAATGGTCGATTTAATTACTTTTAATTCCGCAACGCTAGTGAGTGTGCTATTTGTCTTTTGTTCCACTATTGTGTTCAGACTAATTTTGAAATTACGTTTTCGTTATACTCATTAAATCTAGTTATTTCTCCTATAACCTCCAGTTCTTTATTAAAACCTATGTTATTCATCGGAATATTAACTAATCTGTAAAACATATTATTCAAAACTGCCGTTTAGTGTTGCCATCTGTGGATCGAACTGTTCGGAATGTACTTGAATATGTGTGTTTTTTTCTGATAAATATCAAATTTTAATCCCCTCCTACTACTATTTCAACTAATTAATCCAAAAAGTTAATTTTACCTCTTCTTCCCGTTGCTATGTAAATTTAATAGACGGGTAAAAATAATTTAAATGTTTTATGAAGACCTCTGAATTAAAATTTTTGTTTGTTACCGCAAAAATATCATCTACACACTTAACCCAAATTTCGGAAAATCACCATAGGTGTTCTTTAAATTTGTTTCAAATTTACTTATTAAAAGTTTTATTAAAAATGGTGATAGCGGATTTCTTATTGCTGTTATCTAAGTTTGCTCATAAAATTTATTCCGAAACTGAAAATAATGTTGATTTATACATAACTTTGTCAGATTAATAAGCTCATTAATTTTATTGTGTTTTGTTCCTTTAGCCAGTCTTTGAGAAAAACAATTGTTATATATATCTGAATACTCGGAAATAAGGCTACTACGTCAAAAGAAATTATCCTATCATTAATTTAAGTAGTATAACGAGATAATTTTTGAAAAAAGTCAATATTACTTTTATTTGAAAAACTATCGAATTTTTAAATAAATAAAAACACCCTTACTAAGTGTTTAGCCAAATTGTAAGTTAAGCCATTAATATTCGACACAATAGGTCTCATATTATTTCCCGGCTTATATATGTTTATATTTTATGCTTGGAAAGCATTATCTAAGATAATTAAAAAGAACATGCAATATGAATTTAAATCCGGGCCTTAATGAACATTAGTTATAAAAACACACTAACTGTTCTTGTGATAGTTATTGCCTTTTGCTAATTTTACAGTAATTTAAATTAAATAATGTAAAAAATTTGAAAATATTTAATTTTTGAAATTATTGAAGTAAATGCTGCATTTTAAATACTGTCATAATTTAAGAAAAATGCACTTGGAAATTTTGTAGCGCCAGTTTTTCTAAAATAGTTTTGTAAATAGTACAGAAAGGTAATTATTAGGGTTCTTTTAAAATACAATTTTAATAGTTTATTTTTAAAAATGTATAATAATTTTGTTTAATATTTGTTATCACTATAGTTCAATTAAATGATACTACAATTTAAATAAACTTTTTTTTAATAATATATAAATAATTATAATAATAAATAATATTATTAATACTATTTAATTTCATTTGCTATAATTATGTATTTTTTTAACTAATTAGTAACTATTATAAAATGCCCAATAAATTCGATATTACATTCTTACAAGTGTTCACCGGACGTTGGCAGAGGTACACCGTGTCCAGTTGCCTTAAGAACGTCTCAGTTACATTAAGCATTTGGTCTTATAACTAATATTGACAGTCAGCTCACATCCGGTAGACATCTTGTTATAGATGCGAGCCATGCGCCTCTGGAAGAAAGAACTCGTGATTTTCTATAAATTTTCATTATATTTTGATTTGATAAACCCTCTCTTTTAAAAATAAAATCATTAAGTCGTTAAACAAAATAAACGCATTAAGATAATCATTCTTTCAAGTCAGTTGCCGTCTACAAAATTATAGAAAGATTTACAAAATTCAAAACATTTATATTTGTTGAAAGTTCTGAATATTTTAGTCACATTATAAAGTATAATCTATTTGATAAAACAAACCATTTGTAGTGCGATGGACGTTCTGATCAATGCACACCGGCACATTGGTTTGAGCATACGTGATTTTCTAAATGTTGTATTATGAAATGAATAACAATGAGTGAATAAACAAAAGGAATTCGTAAATTTATTATAAATTGCTTTTTGTATAGAAATCAAAATTCTTCTACTTTGTTTTGTCAGGTTGGTCATCATATGAAGTATTATTTTTACATTGAATACTAAATCTGTCATAAGAATGTATATGTATGCATTTTATTTTGTAATGAATAGATTTTTGATGTTATATGTATACGATTGTTTTATTCGAGTGTATTTAAATCAGTTTTGTTAAGCGAAACGGAAATAAAAAAGACATTGCTCAATGGTTTCTTCGGTAACATATTAGTATAAATTTTTGTGTTTTGGTTGATATAATGGCGACACTCGTAACGACCGTTGACGGTGACCGATTTATTTGAATTGTGATTCGTATATAATGTCACATGAATAGTGTCACGCCGAGTTTTTTTGTGCAAATCGATTTTTAACGGCACACGGGACAACGTGACTGTGTTGTTCGTTAATATTTTAATTAAAACTATTTTATACGAAATGAGAATAAAGTAAACATTTTACAGTACACTTTACGGAGAAAACCTGGGAAGTATTTTGCATGTGCTTATCGTCATATGTCACCTATAATAATCCTTGAATTTAATACGAGATAAGCAATGACAGTATTTATTTTCAGAATGGGAATCATTCGCATGTCTGTAAAATAAATTAAAAAATCAATTGAATATGCGTCTGACGACATAGCTGTATGACAATTACAACTATTAAAAACTAAGGACAAGCCGTTTCTTATAAATAAAATAATACGTGCCAAAGGTACAAAGTACTACATTAATCATACTTTTTTCAACTACGCACGTGTACTTTAAATTAATTTTGGTTTTTTGATTCAACGTGATGCAAAGAATTGTATGAAAAGCTATACTTACAGCAAAATGAATGGAAAGAGACTCATTGAATTTTATTTATTGATCTGAGCGCACGATTGGCCAAGTTCTAGCAAAGCTAGTGTATCTTCATGCGAAACAATAGCCCCGGTTTTTTATAACTCCTGTGTTTTATAGTTTTAATTTGTTTAACTAAATTATATAAAACATTCCGTATAAGAAGAAACGTGAAATGTGGTACGAAAATAGGTCTTGTAGTGTAAGTTTAGGGGAAAAATTGAAAATCTTTATTTTTTTCAAAATCAGCAGCCTCACGGGCAGTAATAATAAATAATAAAACAAATTATTTATTTTAAAGAAATTATACGTGAGGGTTAGAAAGAAAGTTATTTTTGGGCGAAATGTGTTAAAAGAAAAATTTCTAACTTGCCCCTTTGTTTGGTATCAAAGGTACCCATAAAATTAGATCATAGGGCGATATTATTACATTATTGTTATCACTGCATTTATATAAGTCTTTATGAGTTTATAATATTTAAAAAGACTTCTGAAATATTACAAAAATTTACTTACACCAATTTCGCTTTCAACCAAACGTATCTTTAACAAATTCCTAAATATGAAAAAGACATAATCTCTTCCGTCTTTCGAAGTAGTGATTTCTACAATGTTGTCAAATCAGCTCATTCTTAAGTTCCACGTTACTCATTAAAATTGTGTATAGATTTAACTACTTTTTGATAATCGGAAATTTTCATACACTATCAAATTTAAGATAAAAAAAAAATTTCATTAAGAAAAAACTTATAGCAATAAAATGATAATAAGAAACGTAACATTTTAGTTATTTAATTTTCCAAAACACTAATAATTTGTCATTGCTTTTGAAAAGTAATTTACCCAAGGCTGTCAAAATTAAAGGTAAAAAAATAATTAAAGTAAATAAATTTTATATTCATTGAACGTTTGAATGCCTTTTGATACTTTAATAAGCAAAAACTTTTTGTCTGGAATTTGTATTTTATGTTTTAGAGCTTTATAAATGTATGAAATTCATTTTCTCCGAAAAATAAAACTACCATAGAAATTAAATTAAAAATAACTCGAAAGGCTTTAATATTGATTAGTAATTTTACAAAAACCTTTAAAAGTTTTTCTTGTTATTTTATTATGAAAATTAGTTATAGTAACAGAATTTTCATTATTTATAAACGATATATTGCAATAGCAAATTTATGAAAACAACTCTTTTTTCATTCTACTTTAAAATCAAGCAGTTGATTAATAATTTATTATTATTTTACATCATGAAAATTCGATGCGACAAAAAGTAGATTTCATTTAGTATCATAACAAATTTAAATTTTAAGATTTTAAAGTGACATTTAACCAAACAAAACAATAATATTTAAATTTGTTTGTAAAATATTCATAAGTATAGATAAAAAATGTATTTAAATATTTTCAAAAATTAAAATTTGAAGTGATGAATGATAAAGTATTTTTTCAAACGAAAATAGTAGTGTATGTAAATTATGATCTTAAAATCAACTTCAAATAGCGAATATTTATAGTAAAACCATAAAAATAAATAAAAGAATAAATTTACATTTTATTACTTAATCGAGAGAAACTTTGATCGTTATTTTTTATTAGTTTCATAAATAGGAAAAAATATTAATCTTGTTTTTTTATCCCTTAAATATTAAAAATAGTCAAATTATCTCAGGGAAATGTAAAAAATAAAGTAAATAATTTTTAATGCACGAAAATATAGTTTATTATTAATAAATTACGAATAAAAGTATCACTATTATTTTTATACTGTTTATGTGTACTGTATTTATAAATACAGTATTCAACTTACTAAAAATTATTTTTTTTAATAAGTATTTTTATGGTAGATATGAATTGTCAAATATTTTATAAACGATCAGGGATCAATAAAAAACTACACACATAGTTCAGTTTAGATTACACATGTTCAGATTATACGTATTTTAAGACGAGTGAGCCTAACGTATATTTTTTTATCGTGATGGATGGATAAGGAAGTTTTTTTTTTAATGAATGTTGTCCACGGGGTTCCAATATAACTTATCCTTTTTATTTTTGATCTCAAATCTAAAATAATTCTCTGAAAACGTAATCGAAATACAAAATAAATTACGGCATATCAACAGAAAAAATCATCATACAAATGTTGTAAAACAATCTAACAAAAACTAATGTTGAAACGCAATAGATAGACAATATATTAAACAGCTATGGCATTTTTAAAAGGTTTATTTTATTTTGTATTTTTAGTTATTCAATTGTAATAAATTACATGCCTGGCAAAAGTTTTTGATAAATAATTATATGGAACAATACAAAACGTGGATGCCGTCTTTTTTAAAGCGTTCATACCACTAAAATTCGAAAAATATATTTTTGACATAAAAATTAAAAAAAAAAAAAATTGACTTAAAACTGTTAAAGCGACGTTTTAATATTGAATTTAAAATATTCAATTATCATAGGAAAACATTTGAACATGGACTACGATTCAATTGTAATTATTTAATGGATTAATAATAGTAAGTGTTTACTTGAATGATCTTTATTACATTTTTTTAATAAACCAAAGGCTATAATAAAAATTGATCACTTGTGGCTAGTTAATTAAGTAAAATTAAAACTATATTAAATTAATAATATTTTTAATATAGTTTTAATTTTACTTAAACCAAAGGCTGTTTGCGCAGTAGTCGAGCACATAGTACATAGTTATAGGAATGGACTCAGTGGTTCTTATTACTTCCAGTGACGTCTTATGGTTAACAAATGTTGCTGCGACTGCTCCGCAGGGTGCCGTTTTGTGAAACGCTGTTTTACATCGTTTTGAAGATTTGCTCTTCCACACAAATTAGATCATCCCACTCATTGATGTGATTTTTCAAACGTGCAATTTCCTCTAAACGTTCGACTAGTTAACGACAAAGTACTTAAATTTTAAGGAACATAAATAATCAACATGTCCATTATGTCACCCCCACGGTTAGTCCCTTTTGCCGACGCTTCCTATAGAAACGGGTTTGACCAAACCAGAGACAGGCTGCCCGTCCCAAGCGCGCGTTCCTTCGAAAGAGGAACTCCGCATCGGTAGGGTCGTGTTGAGTTGGTGGGGGGAGACGTCGGTGATAAGCTGCCGTTTTACAGTGAACATGTGTCAGTCTTCTACACAGTTTATGATATTATGTATATTTATTTATTTACATTCCTCTCGTTCGCTAGACAGTTGTCGTCATTATCGTTACTGTTTCACTGAAGAGCCAAAAGTGTCGTACCTCCGGACCTATGCATCCGTCCGGTGTACACTGACAACAGTTAACGGTTAGGTAGAATTTAAACGTTGTCTTAGTCGGACTCTGTTAGCTCCTCGCGCACCAAAGTACGTCTCATTAGACACCGCGCCCGCCGGTGGTATACATGTTAAATTTCTGTTCTTGATTTCCAGAAAAACTCTTTTCAGAATCCGTTTCACCGACTTGATTACAAACGCTAAAACATAATGATTGTACGCACTTGCGCGGTGTTATTATTTATATTAGTGAACTTGTTGCTAAATAGTGAAATTGGTGCTCAGCCGGGTAATAAAAGTATTTGCGAAACTTGTGCTTGTTTTCCCACAAATGTCGCCCCGACCTCGGTCAACTGTACTTGTATCAAGAACAAAGTAAGTTTTTTTTTATTATATTTTATCAGTTCCAATTAGATTAATAGTAATGAGTAATTAAATACCCATCATTCGATCGATATAATAAACCATTAAATCAATTTCTAAACAATAAAATATACACCATGTAAGTTCTACTCCATTATTTTCTGTATATTGTAGTTATAGTTTTTGGGTCGGTTTCGATTTATTGAATTGATCTATTAAACATAACATAATTGTATTTATATGATTTAATCTCACATTAGTTCGTATTCCGTGAATTTGTGTCTTTTTTTTTTTTAAAAAGCCATAAATTTCAACTAAACCTACCATATAAAAGTAACATTAAATATTGGTTATGTCAGTTGAAAACTAATAACTAATTTAAATGAAAATGATTACCGACTCTCTACTTTAATCACAAAGTTTAAACAAGCATAGAGCTATAGTAATCCTTGTATAGGTAAGCAACTAAGTACTTATGGGAGTTTTCAAATTTTCATTAGAGTAATGCTCAAGGGAAACATAAAAGTAGTAACAATGACACTATGATAAATAACAGAAATAATTTTGTTCAAAAATGGTCAGTTCATTATTTGTTTAAACAATTTGTTTAAGTTTTCTTCGTTGTCGGCATGAATTATTAAAAATTAAGCGCAATGTTCATAAAAATGAATTAAAAATAAATGCATTTATCAGTACTAAAGAAAAACATTTAACACGAATAGTAGAGTATAGTGTACAATTTTTTTAGTAATCGGATGTACCGAGTATTTTATTTTGCAAATCATTTGTTCGATGAATTTCTAAATTTGTTTTTTTAGTAGATCGTTATTTTTCATACTCATTAAACCATTCGAGTTTTTTAAAGCTACTTAACTATAGCAACTCCCTTTGTTGTTGTTTATATGTGCCACACAAATGTTTTCTATTAATTACAATTTTTCTTAGCTACTTTTTCAATTATTTTATTACTCGATGTTAAGTATTGAGTATCACTAAACTGGTTATAATAAGAAAATGTAGATTACAAATGAAGGTGCGGTGAATATTAAATGAAATATGAAACTGATCTCATTTAAGATTTACATTTTGGTTTGACAAGCCTACAATACAATAAATTGCTTTACAAAAGTTGTTCCGTGTACACTAATTGAAATATTGAATATTTATGAACAGTAATAAAGAGATTAAAAGTCCAGAATTCTAATAACATCAGAATTGTATAAAATTCATAGATAGTAACCGAATCTTTATCATTTCAACTCTTCAAAATTTTTATGAAGGCGGTAGAGTATATAAAAATACATTGTATGCATAATATTAAAATTAATTATTTTTTGTCAAATAAATAGTTTTTAATATGCTTTATGTTAAAAAAAAAAAAGTTTTCAAAGAGATCGTGGACTGTCTTAGCTCGTGGGTTGTTCTTGGGCGGCGAGTTATTTTTATTCAGCCGTAAAATTCAACAAAAAGGTCACATTTAAGTAGTTTTACTTTATTATGACGTTAATTGTTACAACGTGTTTATAGTTTTCAATGTTTACAATTCGAATCGTCAAAGTCTTTAAATAAAACATTTTGTTAAATTTACTTTCGTTCTAAATTAAATTTTCATTCTGCAAACTCAGTGGTAATTTAGAAAGATTATTAGTTGAGGCAACAAAGTGTTTTGCGAGAATTTCACAGAATTTAGTTGTAAAGTAAATGAGTCATTTTAAAACTGTTTATTTTGTGACTTTCCAAAAGTCATTGATTTCAAGTCAATAAACAATACAAAAAGAAATACGTTTCTAGATTTGGCTAGACTAATAAATATGTAAATTGTTTCCAATAAATTTCATGAAATGTTTATTTAACATACATTAATTGAAAATATATTGGTAATCTTGTACTAGTTAATAGAATTTTTTTACGATAACTAAATTAGTTGATAACTTCCATCCGGAATGGTCATTGACTTTCAAACATGTAATCAAATTTCCGTTGTATCTTTAGGTAGAAATAATATGAAATTTGATTAAATTTTAACCAAATCAAAAAATTTAATATTGAGGCTTGAATTAAAGATAGTTGAATATTTATGAAAATTGTGCTAATAAACATAAATTAATGATTACGAACGTATGTCTCATTCTAAATACTCGGTTAACTTTTTTTTTTTTATTAAATTATCTTTTGATTATAAATACCTTGTGTCTAAAATTGCGCTTATGTTAATATTAGCTAAATTTACGGGATATCATTTTAGTTAATTAGCTGTCCGTTTGATAATTTTAGCAACATAATTTGTTCGAGTTGCAGTAATTTTTCTTTATAGTCATTCCTATGACAATTTTCATTTTATTTCTGTAGTTTAATAAACTAGAGTTTTTTTTATTAAGCGATTCACATTACCTTATTATATGTCGTACAAGTAATATCGTTGATATTTAATACGATTGTTTCGGAATAGCCTATTATGCGGACAATTTACTTTTTATTGTATTTTTATTACAATCATCACGAATCCGAATGATTAATAGATCAATGACACATGGGTCGCGTACGTTAATCAAAGCGAACATTGTTATGGTTTTATGGCATCAGACAATTCCTAACACGATAAATCATAACTTTATTGTATTTCTCGTCTTATTTAAATAAAATGCATATCTGTTCTATAACGGTGTGCTCTTTGTGCATAAAGTTTTATTATTTCTTAGTACTGAAATTCACCTGCACTTATTTGTGTTATCCATTAAAGCCGGTAATTCGAGAATACATTATAATAATATGGTAATTTTAACATTATACGTGTTTGATGAAGTATTATCTGTATATAATCATATCAAATCACATCATGTCATTCAACGCGACGCAGCTTGTCAGATTGTGATGTTTAACAGAAGAGTTTTTTCGATCATATCGTAGAATTTGAAATAATAATTAGTAAAAACACGATGGAAAATAATTATGAGTTTTATAGATTATATTTTTCTAAAAATATTTCAAATCGAGATATTTATTTTAGCGCATTGTTAACCGTACAAAACCAACGAACATTTATACTTACAGTTTAATCAATTTTTCGAACGCTTAAAAAAAATAATCTCTTTTATAATTTTTGTTGCTATTATCATGTCGTTTTGTGCATCAACCACTAAGTTTCTATTGTGACATTTNCGTACAAAACCAACGAACATTTATACTTACAGTTTAATCAATTTTTCGAACGCTTAAAAAAAATATTAATCGGACAAAAAAATAATCTCTTTTATAATTTTTGTTGCTATTATCATGTCGTTTTGTGCATCAACCACTAAGTTTCTATTGTGACATTTTTACCGTCGTAGTTGAATATCGTATAATAAAAAATATCCCATGCAGTCTGTGCATAGAATTACACACATTAAACAGATCACTAAGCTGTCGTGAGACTCGGTGTGTACATCGCAGACTAAAGAACCGGATTATAAACGTGCTACAGGTGCAACACAATATTTAAACAAATAATGGCTGATGTTCCCTTACACGACAGGGGCATATTAAAACTGCTGACTTAAAGCGGATGAATACAACGAGGCACTATAAACCGACATATTAGAATATTTCAGGTACCCCTTCGTTAATGCAGTCCACATGAATACTACTGAGTACAGTGATAATATTATTGTTGTATAATGTGCACATTATACCAACTCGAGAGATCCTAAATTATTCAACATGATACATATTTGTAATATTTTTTAACGTGTGTGTATATATATATTTATATTATAAAACCAATTTTTACAATCATCATCGGGAGCGTAGCGCAGTATTTTTCGGAGGGGAGACCATTTCGATTGATTGACAGACAAAATAAACATGATATTTTTAGTCGAGTAATAGGTAAGGTTGGATTAGAACAAAAATAAAATTATTATGGCCGACTCGAACGGTCGGTGCTAAGGACTTCTGGGAAGAGGCCAAATGCTCCTTTATTTTTCCCCCGAGTAGTTCAATGTCAGTTAAACACGTCAGTTTCTTAAATGTATAATATGTTTTTTTGAATTACGAAGGATTTTCTCAATGTGTATCTGATTAATTTTTAATATCTGCGTTTTAATTTTAATAAACACTAAAATAGAACATGGATTATTATAGCTTTATTTATTTATTTTTATCAAACATAAATTTGTAATTTTTACCAACAGTACCTTTGATTATGTTTGAAAATGACTGTGTATGTAATTTTCAAAGCTTAACCTAAATAATTAGGTAGGTAGACTCGTAAAAAAAAACTAATGTTTCAGAGAAGCTATAAAGGAACACCGTTATGAATTACTTTTAATTAGTGTAAAATATTCAGTAAAATATCATTTTGTGTGTAATGTGTCGTGCATAAAATATATTAATATTCGAAACATTAATAAAATACGGGAAAAACAATGAAGAGAACAAGTGTTGATTTCAAGAAACTTATCATATTTATTATTAATCCCTACAACTGACGTATTTTCATTCTTTATGCTCTCGTATAAATTAATTTTATGTATTCTGCATTCATTCGTCCTTTCTCCTTGTATTTTTAATCTAGATAGATCTTCTGCCCCAGTTGTTTTAATATAAATAATTCTGTAGGTTCACGTATTAAAAATAATTCTTATAAAATAACATTTTGAATGTTTACTTTATTTTGATTATACTCGAGTAAATCTCGAAAAGTGATAACAGCTATTTTTCAAGGTATAGAAATTGTACTCCAAGTTTTCAACAATTTTATTTTTTATTACAGTTTTTGATTATACGACCGACTGATGCGTCTCTGTTGTTGGCCGTAAAAGAACTAACACTAGCTGCGTGTGGACTTGTATCGCTGCCGCCGTCTGGATTGCCAAATGCAAACCTCCTAAAGAAAGTTACAGTGCGCGACATCAAACTGTTCCACTACACTGCGGGTCTTTTTCCTGTTCTGGAAACTCTTGTGATTGAAAATGTCGATGGACTCGTACTGGACGGTTTCGGTCAAGCCAACAACACGCTAAAAGAACTCGAACTCCGTCGGACTAAGGTGCAAAAATTCGTCCAGGGAACAGTTCCTGCATCTGCACCACTTCGCAAGATCACTCTGGACAGCGTTGAAATCGAGGAAATCGAACCTGGAGCATTAGACATGTCGTTTAGTCACGACAAAGTCGAAGGATTTTCTATGATCAACTCATCGGTAACTATTAAATGATTCGAATGGCTTATAAATTACAGCGACACGTTAATTAATATAATAAGGCTAACGTATTTTCATATCGAGTTTATTCACGCGGTCCTTTAAATACTTCAAGTGGCCGTGTTACATTTTTTAATTTTAATCGAGTTATAATATTAATAATTGAACTATTGTCGAGGTCATTGAATATAGTTCGAATAAGCCGATAGAAAATCTTATTTTGAATTGTCGATTTTCGATGGTATCGCATTAGGAATAACTGTTAATTATTTTTTCATTATTTCGATTACTTACCACTCAATTGTCGAACGAAAATTAAAGTAAATTATTCTTACAGTTGAGTCAGTTCACGGTGTATCACCGCTAATATTCTAATGGATTAATAATATCTAATTTGTTAACCTATGTGTAATAATTATTCTACTGACCTAATGATTGTCCTTAATTTAGTTTAGAATGAATAAAACAGGAGTTGTACTGAATGAAACATACATGTACAGTTTAAAAGAAAACTGTTTTTAATTTACATATGTTATTTTTATTGAAGTGACATCATTATTTTTAATGGAATAGGCATACATTATAATTTTATTTTTTAACTTTAAGTATCTCCTTATTTTTTATTAGAGTTGGGTTTTTGACCAGTAAAAACTTTTGCGGTTAAATGACTAGATTTTAATGTGTCCAAAAAAAAAAAATGTATATTGTTTTTTATATTACTCCACAGTTAATCAAACTATCGTTGTATATTTTTTATAAATTTAGGATGGAAATATTAGTAATTTTTTTGTTATAACTTGTGGTGTTATGTTAGATTAAAAAAATAATAAAGTTCAGTAATGATTTACAAGTTACTAGGTTTAAATAGTAAACTTATTTGAAATATTAGTTATTCAAATAGTAATAATAACTTTTTAACTGAAGTGAATTAAGCTATTAGAAATTGTTGTCCAAATAAAAGGCAATTTTTATTTCAAAAGAAAGAGTAAATTTTAACTATCTGCCGTAAATACTGCAATAAAGACATTTATTTTTTAACACTTTTTTGTAATACTACAAATCTTAAATACCACATAACTTTGTTATTGTTCTTCAAATCATAGACAGTCACTTTTCAGACATTTTTTCGTTATTTTTAATTTATGGGAAAATTGTATTATTTTATTTTATATCAGTACTATAATAAAATGTCTATTAACCAAAATTACTGAACACTAACTTAACTTATTAAGAAATAAATATCAAATGTATTTATTAAGTTACCTTGTAAAGATAAAACGTCAAGCCAACTTTCAACTTTTAAACGTGTTAGTGCCCAGTCTCAGAAAAAAAATAAAACAATAACTCATTAATTAATGACCCAATTTTGATCAATCAATCGAAATCGTGTAAATCCTACATATGATACGATTGAAATAAGATTTGTTTTTTGTTTATTCTTAATTTTATATTTTGCTAGAAACATATTTAGATATTCGATATTTAATTTATAAAGTGTAATAGGTCAATTTTTACTATATAAAAAGCCTGATTTCTTTTATCGAAATAAACATAAATATATACAGGCTTTGTATTTTTATCATTCATGTGTTAATCATTAAATTATAAAACTATGAAATTATCGTATTTCACGAGCTAAAAATAAAGTGTAGTCACTAACGGAATATTTGATATTGACTTCGACTAGAAGTGATACAACTTTAATATTTTCCAATCAAATCATATTGTACTAATAAAATAATTTCTGATGAGCACTTAAATTTTAAAACCAGTGTTTTAATACATTGAAGAGGTTGGGTTTTTCGATAATTAATAGAATCCGTTCAATAGTATTGTTGATCTTTGAAATGTTCGTAAAACATGGCCAATAATCGTTTAACTGGTCTTAAATACAGACAAAAGTTGATTATCAATACCTTTTGTTCACAATTAGAAAATTTTTAATTATTTAACGATGCAGTGTTTGTTGGACTGAAAACAGTGGTCATATATGACAACGAATTGTTTCAAACAATACAATAGATTTTCTTCTTGTGTTGCGTGACCGTTAACGGATGAGGTTAATGAAAAACAGAATATCGCCGACAAAAGGCGAGACTTAACACGTTTTTTATCTTGACTTTTGTTATCGGCCATCTATACGCATAACGATCGATGCAGTGTTACAATTGTTTTTTGTTCCGATCGTTTTTAATATCTAGTAACACAAACTAAAAGTCATATAATTAAAAACATGCATTACTGACAGTCTGATATTGGACAGAATGTATAGATGCATTTATTCGACGTAACAATTATTGACTAACTGGTATCGGTTTCTTAAGTATTCAAAGAAATGTTGAGATGAAGAAAAGACTAAATATCGGACAGTTCATAAAAATTGAACATTGGGGACAACATCTCTGACTTTGTGGTTGGAGAGGTTCACATTGAAATCTTAACTGGTTAGAAATACCAAAAATATTTTATAGCCTACATTTATTACATTCATAAAAATGTACGAAAAAACAACCGAGAAAAATAAAATTTATTCCGGTAAAAATGCGTAATACAAATAAATATTTCTGAAAACTTTCAAGTGATGTATTAAAAAAAACTGTGTTCTTATAAACGTATGTATAAATTAATGTTAAACATGTATTTAATGATATACACGCATAAAAAAATAAAGGTTTTCAATACTGATTTGGTATTTCAATTTGTTTGCAATCACTGGAATCTTTAACTTGAAAAATAATCTGTCTGAAATAGAATTCATTTTACGTAAAAATTTTCCATAAAAGGTTTTGAATAGTTTGTTGCACAGTTTTAAAGAAGAAAAAACCTATTATGCTGAGAAATAAAACTCGTTTATTTTTAGGTCGGCAGACCTTATGGAACGCAAATATATAAATATATTAAACATGCATGAAAGCTCGTGGAAAACTTTAAGAAAGATGAGAGAAAAGCATTTTGATATCGCCGAAGAGTAAACAGAAATTTCGATTTTATTATTTCAATAGAACTCCCTATAGTATAATACAATTTCATAAATAAACTAAAAATCATGCACAGTCGTTATTATGTAAACTAATTTAAACTCGATACATATTTTAAAGGATGATAAATGTGTAAAGTGGAATTATTTTTTTATCATAAGGCAAAATATTATTAATAAATATGGTTCTGTTATCTTATTGCAGTATAAATCATACATTTAGATGGACGACATTAAATCGTTTGTTTTTCTGCCATTTTTTAGCTGATACATAAACAAATACATAATATTGATTTCTCGTGAAAAAACTACACTTGCTCGGTTTTCAAAAGTCAAACAATTTAACTAGAGAGATATTTATTAAAATGTTATTGTTAATGTTAAAAGTTTTTAATATCAAACTTTTCATTCAGTTCTCCGTGTATGTATCAAAATGACAAACATAACATGATAATCCTCCAACCTAAGATTAATGAATTATTATCAAATAACAATTATCATAATTAAAAACATGGGATATTACAAGAAAAATGTCGCCATTTTTTTGGGATTCATTTTGTAGAATTATGTTTTTACCAGTTAAATAAATTTAATCAAAACTACTGTTTCGTTCTGTCGAAGATCGGAACGAATTTCTTAAGAGTTTACCGTTAAAAATTAGGTGATATCGGCCGGACGTTAACATATAATGTTATTTGAACTACAATATGTACGCAATTTCATTGTTTTTATTATTTTTATTATCAAAGAGTAAGCCAATATAAATATAGTATCTGTTTACATTCGTGAAAAATTGTTTGTCGCTAGAATTACTTTAGCTCAGTTGTTTACATCTGTCGTGTGAATGTCTTCTTCTTCATAGCAATAGCCAAAGTACTTGTCCGGCTAAGTTTAAAAGTGCGTTACTTTGGAAGTTGTTACAAACAATAATGGAAATAACTTTCTTATGAAAACTCAAAATTAGTTATTTTCAATAATATTATTAAACTCGTCCTTATTTGCTATGATGCACAAAAATAACAGTCATTTCTTATGGTCACTCGTGTAATTCATAATAATATACAACTTGGATCTTGTGGATGTCTTGGAAACCATAAATTCAATATATTTTCGTTTATTGAAAACAGTCAACAACGACGTGCGAGTATAGAAAATAAAATAGGTCATCGACAGTCGTCAATATGGGAATTATGATTAAATTTTCTAAAAAAAATATTTCCGTAATAAAACACCTTTAAAGTATTTATAAATAATAACAAATAACACGCTTATATTTATTTCGCCATAGTAATTATAGATATGAAAATAAAACGAACGTGATTGAAGAAAAATAAATCAATAATATTATTTTATTTTTCTATGATTTGGATAAAATGTTCTCTGAATATAAGATTAACAAATTATAAAAACTCGTAAGAATTATCTATATAGTAATCGGCGATTGCTAATAAAAATTTTTTTATTATTTTTGATAGTTGTGTTTTTGTAAATGATCTTACGACCATTGGGGTCAAAGTGTTGTTTAGAGCAAATAAATGAATAGTCTGAGAATTCATAACCGAATTCCTAGAATAATATATACAAAACTTTGATGTTAAAACATTTGAAACACTTGTGTAATGTTGTATTTTAATAACTTTTAACCAATAAAATTTGTTATGTTTATAAATTCGACGGAAAAACTAATAATTCTACGGAATTTCGCTTAAATCTCAAAGACTTGCCGAATGTGCTTGTTCATGTATTTATTTGTTCATTTATAAATTTAGTAAATTTAAAATTGACTTAACAAACTATTAATGAATTTTATTTTCAATGCTATTGAAATAGAATAATAAATAGTATGTCAGAAGTTATTTAACAGTCTGATTATTTATTTAACTAAACAAATTTATTAATTAAATTTTTTTTATTAAGGTCAAAACCATTGAGGCAGGAGGTGTAATGGTCCGGTCGGGTTCAGTAAAAATAGTTAACAGCACTTTTGATAAATTACACAGTGGCTCAATAATAGTCGAAGAAGGTAGGGAAATTAATTTGTCCGGTAATAAATTCAACAACGTGTCTTTGGTTGGCGACAGTGTGACCATAAGCCGCTCTCGAAACTTTGGCGATGGGAATGTTACCATAGACGGAAATGAGTTCTTCAGCCTACCAGCCGATTTGCAAATTTTCAAAACGGACCGGCACGTGACGTTCGCAAACAACATTGTGCACGACGTGGACCTCGGACCCTTTTTGTTTGGTGTGGGGCCCACAGTTCGGGTGTCGGGTAACCGGTTTGAATGCGACTGCGACTCGCGGCGGACCAGCGTACTGAAGCTCAACCAAGTCTTTCCGGGCCTGTTGTCTGATGACAGTTATTTTACGGTTTTACTGGCCGAAAACAATTGTAAACAACCAGCAAGTATGACCCTGGCAGGTTACCGAGACGAGTTAATCGCTGGAAAGACTTGTCCCGGCACTAGTCTTCCCACAGCCGAACCTACGACACCACCAATGCCAACCGATTCACCTAGTAAATCTTCTAGCCGATCGTCCAGTGAGATCACAATGGCCGTCGTCACTCTATTTATGATAATTTTTACAGTGTTACCATTGAGCTGAATTGCGATGGTCATAGTGCGAAGCGGCTGGACAGTATGTCACGTTTTTTAACCTTTCATTGGTCTAAATGAAAAACCTTGAGAAGACAGGTCAACTTTACCTACTGACAACTAGTAGCTTTTTTTAATTTAGCTGTTTAATCTATGTTTATCTGAATTATTTTACAATATTTTTGTATATACAATTAGTTTTTTTTTTTAATAATTGAATTGTAAATTTTTTTTTACGTAAACGAGCAATATTTGTTTTTTGGATATTAATTTTATGTAAATAAACATCAATGTACAACACACGTTGTGAACTAAATATAGTGTTACAAGGAAAATTTTAATGTGTACCCTATTCACATAATTATAATAATATTATAATGAAAATTTTGAAAAAGATTATGTATGTTTGAATCCGTTAAACAAACGATACATATCATACTTCAATGTTGATTGTGTTGCATACTTGTCAGGAGTAAAATTATGATATCTATGTGTGTTTTTATTTTAAGAATTTTGTGAACAGGTCACTCATAATAGTAGAATTTCACTAATCATTTTATTCTTTTACATTTCACACTACAAAGTTTAAACATTTTTTAAATAAAATAATTTTGATTCTTATCAATCAGTAAAATTTTAGGAATTTGCGGATGGTAATGTGGTATTAGTTTTATGTGATAAAATTTTTTTATATAGTTACGTTGGATAGTTACTTTATAATCTAGTAAAGATATTCATTTAGGTAAATGTTTTTTTATAAATAAAATATTCAATTACTTCTTTTCTTTGTTTTTAAACAATTATCACTGTCTCTTTACCATTACTGCTATGGAGTAAATCAATATATTATTTGGAACAAAATAGAAATGATTTCTGTATAAATTTTTTGAAATATTTCAATGGTTCAAATATAATTTTGGTTTTTAGTACATGCAATAGATAAATACTAAACTAAATTTAGCAAATTTTATACAGATTAAAAAAAAAATTGTTATTACAATGTAAGGTTATTTTTTTGATATTGCATATTTTTTGGATATGTATACAATTGATTGATTAGAAACAATGAAACTCATGGTTCTGTACATCTGATGAATTAATTAGCATTTGACCTACTTAACCGTGAACAGTAGAAAATAATAAAATGTGTTTATATTAATGACCTTCGAAGTATAAATCAAGTTCTTTAATACAAAACTTTTAAAATATTCAGTATATTTTTATAACTTTAAGTTAAAATTTATCATGTCACGATTCTGATTTATTAAAGAAGTGCCACATTTCACCATAAATACAACCAAAAGAACTTTAATAATATAGTTTTTAAAAGTTTCTCAAATAGCAAAGAACATTAATAAAACAAAATTTTAATAAATAATAAAAATTATCTCAAAGAAAAACGGTCAAATTAATGATACTCAATGTTTAAGCAATATATCAAAGAGAAAAATAATTCTATTGAAAAAATTTATCCGTTCTACCCCTTAATTGATGAGTACTAAGGCTGTTTCGCCGTTATAATAAATCAACATCGAAGTATGATATTAATACTTTTAATCATTTTCGTTGAATTATAGTTATCGAGATAAAACGGCGGGGAGAAATATTAAAGCTGACTTTAAATCGACAGCAAAAACTTATACAATCTAGTATTTTTTATGAAGTAGCAATTTATTTTTAAATTATTATTATTTTATGAGGCAACTTGCTGAGAATTTTTTTTTGTATATTTTATGATGTATAACAAATCATATATGTAATATAGATAAATTACTCTAGTTTTTGAATATAAAATTATTATGATATTTTAAGTTTATTCTAACAGAATATTTTTTATTTTAAAAAAAGTCATTCATTTTCTTGAAAATATTTATTTTTAAAATATTATAACGAAATACAATTTGTCTATAGACACTTAACTATTTATATACTTAGAAATTAGTAGTACGTAATGTTCGAAATTTGAACCAAATGGAAGAGTTTTTGTTTGATCACATTAGTGATATATGATAAAATGTATTTTAAATGTTTATTTTTTTATAAATACATTCAACTGTATGTTTGTATAATGGTCTCATTTTTGGTTAGAATTTTTCGGAAGCGTTTTTTACCATGTGATAAAAATTAAGCTTTTTATGAAACGGCATATCATTTTCATTGATTTTAATTAGTTTACGTTTTAATGTTAAACGTGAAAGTACTAAATATTTTTTAAGTCTTAATATTTTATTTTCAAAGTAAAAGAATAAAGCCGTAGGACCAGATGAAATGCCAGTAGAAGTATGGAAAATATTAGGCAGTGTTGGCATAAGGTGGTTGAAGGAACTTTTAAATGAAATATTATAAGAAGGGAAAATACCAAATGAATGGAGGAATAGTATTGTAGTGCCGATATTTAAATGTAAAGGAGACATACAGGAGTATGAAAATTTGGGAAAAGGTAATAGATAAGAGAATAAAAAATGAGACATCGGTATCCAAAAACCAGTTTGGATTTATGCCTGGTAAGTCAACAATGGAACTATTATTTTGTGTGAGATAGCTAATAAAAAAATTTAGGGAAAAAAAGAAAAAGTTTTGTATGGTATTTATAGATTTGGAGAAAGAGTATGACCGAGAGAGGTTCTAAAGTGGGCATTAATGAGAAAAGGAGTCACGAAAAGGTACATTAATATAATAGAGGATATGTATGATGGCACTTATAATAGGGTAAAAAATGTGGGAGGAGTAACAGAAGGTTTTCGGGTAAGAGTAGGAGAGCATCAGAGTTTTGCTTTAAGCCCTTACTTATTTTCTATAGTAATGGATGAAATTACTAAAGAAATACAAGGAGAGGTGCCGTGGTACATGTGGTTTGCTGACGATAGTGTTAAAAGAAGAAAATAGAGAGGAAATTAATCAAAGACTAGAGGTGTGGAAGAAAACCCAACCAAGCTCTTGAAGAAAAAAGTTTAAGAATAAGTAGGAGTAAGACAGAGTTTATAGAGTACGAGTAAAAATAATTAGTGAAATGTGTAGGGTATAAGGTTGACTTTTATTGACTGAGGTCACCAAAATAATTTAATAATATTTAAATTTTAACACTATTTTTGATATCAACAATATTAATAAAATTATGAAATTAAAGGTTATAGTTTGAAATGTGTTATTATAATATAGAACAAGTATAAGAAATTTAATTAAAAATATATTTTTACAAGATAAACCACAATAAACAATTTAAAAACTGTTTTTGTTAAGAAATCTTATTTATGAGTTATCTAATATAGTTTTCTTTTAATAATGTATAACTTCAAAAAAAATTTAATAATAAAAGTAGCAGTAATAAAAGTATAGGTGTAGCGTCAATCGCTGATAAGATGAGAGAAAATAGACTAAGATGATGGTTTGATCATGTTATGAGAAGAGAAGAATCGGAAGCCGTAAGAACAGTTATAGAAATGAATGTTGAAGGAAGAAGAGGTAGAGGAAGACCAAAAAAAAGATGGAGAGATGTTATTGAATGCGATATGAGGACAACTGATGTGAGCGTAGAGGATGTGGGAGATCCTGTCAAGTGGAAGTTTAGGATAAGGGTGGCCGACCCCAAGTAGTTTGGGATTAAGACGAAGAAGAAGAAGAAAATTTTATTTTCGAAGTATGCAAATATTGAGAAAATAATGTTAGCAAATAAGCATATATTCTAATTTTGAAAACCTATTTTGAAATACTGCGTCCTTTAAATTATGTTAAATTAAAGCTTACATTAATACTACAAGTTAAAAAAAAAAAAATTTCCCGATTACCTATTTTCTATGTGCAAATGACCATCAAATTTGAACAAAAAATATCATCATCGTGTAAAAAATCAATGTTATTTTGATACTTAAAACTGCCATAACGTTTGGAAAAAGGAAAGAACTAAAATAATTTTTTTTATATAAGCACTATACGTATTTCCTTTTCATTTGATATAAATTTTATGATAATCTGACACTTTACTGGCCCACAGGGGGAGATTCAATATAGCAACTTTTTTACAAAACTCAACTTTTTCAACTTAAGTTTTCAAAATGTTCCGGAAATACTACGTCCTTAAAACATATGTTAAATTAAAGCTTATTTTACGTACTATAAATTAAAAAAAAAAATACATGTACCATCATTAGTAAATAGCTAACCTATATAGCTTTATTTTATTTGATAGTTTTTAGACGCATACAAATTTTAACTTCATATTTTTGAAATTAATAAAATTGTTAGAATTTTACAACCATTTGTGTAACAATGAATTTTTGAAACATTATAAAATTTAATTCATGTATTACGTCATTAAAATTTCTAAAAATATTTAACTTTTATAAAATCAAATTTACACAGTAATATCATATTAAACAACTTACAAATCGCATTATAATTGTTATTATAAAAATAAATTATGTTGTTCTTATTCTATTTCAATAAAGTATTAGCAATATTAAAAATGAGTTTAAAATTATTTTACTCGTAAAAATAATATCATATCATAGATTTCTTTTCAAAAAGTTATAAAGCATGTATAAAAAATTAATGTTATATGAGTTTTTCTTATTTTGGCAATTAAGTCAAGTTTTAGATGTATATTGTTATACTGAACGTAAAGATTTTAAAAAATACCTTATTGACTCATTAAACTACATTCGTGTTCAAAATGGATGGAACTTTATTCAACATACAGAAATTAAACGTGAGCACTTAACAATTAATAAAAATAGCGTCACAAGTGAAATTATCGATGAAAAAAACTTTATAAAAAAACTCTACTGTATAACTTGTCTCTTAAACTGTGAACATACCAATACAATGCAAACTTTCAATGTAATTTTAAGCGTTGTTTTAAATAAATGTGAAATGTACATTTCAAAAAATAAATATGGACCATTGAAATATTGCACAGAGCTAATTATTAATATTTTTAAATGTTCATTATTTATGTTTAAAAATATGTTGAATATGGCAAAATATCTCGATAATATCGACCTACGAATTATAAACTCGCCTGTCCTTAATATTAAAACTGTAGATAGTGAAATTAATTATTTTTACAATTACGCATTTCAGTTAAATAAATTCATTGTTTTATCTATTACTGATAATTTGGTCAATATTTTTGAAAATATAATAGATTTCAATAAAGAAGCTGAATTAATGATATCAAATCTTTACCAAAATAGAAAAGTGTGCGGGACAGAACATACAAGTTCTATTTTAACATATGTATTGATGAAATATAACATCGATCAAATGGAAAAACTGGTAGAGGATTCCAACGATTATATTAATAATATTTACAAAGATCTTGAATCATATATTTTTGGAATTACTGAAAATTTTTATACAAAATTAGGCTTTCAACAACTAGAAGGAACAAATACGTTCAAGTAAGATTTACATTTAGTTTTATTTAAATTTAAAAAATTTATTTTGTTAAGCACAATTTTAATTATTTATCTATTTAAAAGATTATATTGCTATGATAATAATTTTGAGTAACTATGCATGACTTTTTTTTCCATACAGGTTTAAATTTTTCAAACCTAGGAAATATGGCCATATGGAAGGTATTGCATTGTGTAATCATTTTATATCTCACATTGGTTGGATATCATGGAAACATATAGCTGTTGAAAATAAATATACAAAAGGAAAGTCACTGTATTACAAAGACTTTATAAAAATGGATGATACAAAAAATTATAAATTCATGCGGACATATCTTGCACTTTATTTAAGATGTCGCTATATTGAAATATTTCACAATTTTAATATAATGTTGAGGCATATAATTAATGTTTGTAAATATGAAAATAAAATGAATTGTGCGGTTAAGCTTTATGAAACACTAATCACATCACATGACATGTTTAAAAAAATGTTAATTGCTCTCGTTAATTTAAGACATTACACAATAAAAAAAAAAGAGCGAAATTCAGAATTATTAGTAGAGAAAGTGGTAGAATTTTTTATTAATTATTTGAATGATATCAGAAAAAAGTATTTTTCCCCATTTTTATTTACTAATGGTGGACTTTATGAAGCTCAAACGTTTCTTAAAGAAGTAGCTCACGTTTATTTAAATTTAGAGATGAAATTTAAAGACGTAATTGAATTTAACATGAAATATTGCAGAATTAATAAATATGAATCAGACATAAATTTAACTACAACATTTGAACGATTGATTCAAATGGATAACTTAACAGAATATAGTACTACTTATCATTCTTTGTGTGATTATTTGAAATCATTTTTTCTAAAGGTTGTGAAAAATGATTATGAGGAATTAGGTTTCAATAATTTGTCTTTTAAAAATTGATTTATTATTCGAGACTTAATAAAATATTGTATGCATGTTATATATGTTGTTATAAATAAATAAATTTATCATTAAAATAATTGTAATATGACAAAGAGTTGATCATTTTTTTTGTATATTATGTTAATATTTTACTTTGGTTGATTCGAACTTGAAATCTATAGATTTGCATCGAAGCGTTTCTTAGGATTGTGATTTTTATTACTGTCAGATATCATCTATACTTGTCCCAACTATGCCACGTCCACACTGTGCCGCAACCCCACTGTGCTACCGTTTTGTATTATATTTTATTTTAAAATACCTTACAAGTGAAGTATACAGATTTTCATAAAAATTATATAAATATATTTGACATAGCATATAAATTATTTTGCTTCTTCTATGTCAAGAAAATAACTTTGAAATTTGAATTAGCTTAAATTTGTTTACTTGTTGACATTGGAAATATTCATTTTTTAAATTTTATCAAATAAAGTTCAGAAACTAACTTTTGGATTTTATAAAAGTTACCTTATTTTTATAAATAGAGCCGAACAGGGTTTTCCATTCATTATTATAATAACGCTAATAACCAATTTATTATTAATCTAAAGTACCTCGGTTACTTTTTATTTTTGAAGATCTCAAAACTAGTTCTTAAAAAAACCAACTTGGTAAATGTAAAAAACATTTAATCTATACAAATTTATCTCAAACAAACTGAGCAAAAATTAATTATATAATAAACAATTATATAATTTATAAATTATATAATTTCTCTATATACAAATTAAGTTAATTATTAACTAATTGATCAGAAAATATTATACTTTAGAAAATATCAAACATCTAGTCGATTGCGTAATATGTCCAGAATTTTAGTTATTAAATAAATACGACGCCAAGTTTTGAATGGACATTGCATTTGTAAACATTATTCTTTAGTTAACTCAGAGTTTTTTTATGCGCATTTAATTTTGTGTTTAAATTTAAAATCTAAATAAAAAAAATTGTTAAGTTTTGAACAAACAAACTAATATTTTCGTAGGTACCTCATATGACACATTTAACTGCCAGAGGCGCATGTTTCATATAAAACTTTTTCAATCTATGTAGTTCAGCAGATGTTACAGAAACTGATTCTCCTCAATCAATTAAATTAATAATATACATTTGGTCCCCTATACTGTTTGCAATAGCAATACAAATTCCTCTGTACCAACTATCATCTCCTAAAATTAAAGTAATAAAAATATTAACAGAAAAATAATGGTAGATTTTGTTATGGCGTGTAACATCTTCATATTAAAGACGTTTTTTGATTATTAATAGTTATAAACCATTCATATGAAAAATAAAAGACACTAAATAGTTCTTTGAGTTGATTAAATAACTATAATAAATCCGTATGCAGTTTACTTATTTTCATATTATTTTAATAATTAAAATTGTTGATTACTATATTTGACGACACAAAGCTCATCACGTAGTGGTTTATAACAACGATATTGAATCTGTCTATATATCCCTTCATGTTATTCTCCATAGATTTTATCATTTGTTCATATTTAACTTTTGTCGTGCAAAAAAAATCTTCATAAGAGTACAGCACTCTTAATCTATAATCATAATTATTCCTAAGTTTAAGTTGAGAAATATTTTCCAGAATATTGAATTGTAATTTATTAATGACCTTAGCTCCGCACTGTTAGTTTACAATATCATTCTATAAGACAACAAAAATATTACTATTATTTATTACTATTATTACTACATTATTATTTATTTTTGAATTCCTTTCTATAAAGCTATGCTTATATCAACAGTTAAAAAAAAACTAGTGTTTAGTATTAGAAAAAAATGAGTATGTAATTTCTAATTATCCAGTATGTATTTTTAACGTTCAATTTAGAATTTGACCAATCATGCACCACATCAACTAAAATATAAATTAAAAAAATTGTTTTTCCTATTAAATTTTTAATAGATCTCGATTTTTAAGTAAACATACCTTCCATAATAAACGCATCTAAAGGAATCAAAAGACAAAACTGCAATTTATGCTCTCTAAATTGTTCTACTAATGCAATTATGTACTAAATAAAATAACTAAAAATAATTAATTGTTGCCTTAAATTTAAATTAAACTACCACCTTAAGATAATTTCTTTATGTCTAAAATAGGCTTCTTTGGAGTAGCCAAGAGATAACACTGAGAAGTAGTGTTCATAAAATTTTTAATTATAAATTTAATTTATGAGACTCTGGCAAAGATTTTATTTTTGAAATAATATCATCTGATGGTAGAACAGTTTGTGTTTCAAAATTTAATAAATTTAATGATGATATTTCTGTTTGTGTTTCAGATGCAATAAACATAGCTTTAAATTTAGTCTGAGTAAATTTCTCAGAGGAAATTATACATGTTTGGATTGCAATGTTCTTAATTTTCTTAATTTGTGAAATCAAGTTATGTGTTTCTGGAATAGATTTTATTTTAGCAATTATGTCATCTGTCAATATTATTGTCTGTGCTTTACATTCTACTTAGGTAACTCAATAATATAAAAATCAAAGAAAATATTAATAAAAATTAAATTGACTACAACTTGTAAGAAATAAATTAATCATAAATAGAAAAAGTCAAATTGACTAACGTTCAAATACAATTACATTTACCTTTTTTTTAAACAAAGTTTCTTTTTGAATATTATAACTAATTGAGTTAGCCATATTTTATCAATAAATATTGATATTTGCTTTAAATCACTATTAATAATTACCAGAGTCGATTATTATTGTTTTGCTAACTATGCTCATAATAGATTTTAGAGTGAAAATCATCATCATTAATAAATATATACATGGTTACTATGAAAAAAATTTTCAAACCAGCTAGTAGAAATACTACTATTTATATACTTAATTAATATTATTATTTTTTTTTAATTTAAATTTTAGATTCGATACGAAGCTGAGAAGGTATGAATTTTACTAATCATGGGAAATATCGAATAGTAACTATCGAATTATTCGATAGCGATTCAAAAAATATTCGAATAGTAAAAATATTCGATAGTTACACAATATATTCGTATAGTTTATGCTAAAAATAAACTATTCGGTTGTATAAACACAATTCGAATAGTTATACGATAGTTTAAAATATTTGAAAATGCCTATCACTAATTTTTACTATTATTAATTGGATAATAATTTATTTTAAGTATTCGTTAAATATCTTCTTATTATAATTAAGTGTACTTAATAAAAATTTTAGATAGAACTAATCGAATATTTTTTGAAAACCATTCGGTAGCCTATTTGAAAAGTTTTTAAAACTATTCGATAGTTTATGCTAAAAATAAACTATTCGGTTGTATAAAAACAATTCAAATAGTTATTCGATAGTTTAAAATATTGGAAAAGGACTATCACTAAATTTTACTATGATGTGTTTAATTTTTTATTTATTTATTTTTTTTTTTGTGTCTGTTACGACTTTTTCTCAGCTCTCACCGAATCGATTTCTTTCAAAGATACGTCAAAAGATAACAAATCGTATTTTTTTGGAGATTTACCTCATTTACGGTGAACGAGGGAAATTTTTGTCAATTTTTGAGGGTAATGTCTTCGACTAGATACGATATAGTAGATAGTAGAATAATTTACTAAAAGTACTATTCTCAATTTTTTTTAATTGTATAAATAATAAATATTTTATAAAATTGTACTGAATAAGGTTTTATTTATTTTAATGAACTATACAACCTGATTAATACTAAAGATATAATAAAATAATAATTTTTTTAACTTTATTATTTTTTGTCAAATATATAAAATTGTATTATCTGAGAAAAAGTTGATATTATTTATTTTAATATTAAATAATCAAATATTTTTTTTAAACAATTGTATTTAATTAAGAAGAAATATGAACCACGTATTAGTAATATACTTATTACTAATTGCTCAATTTTATTGTTTTTGAAATAGACATGAGAACTACTGTCTATTAGGTTCTAAAACTGTTTATAGTAAGGCTTCAGGAAAATATATCACAATCGAGGTTGAAAGTAAACTAATGAGTTCAAGCGCTGTCTGGCTGAGATGCTACAGCATCCCTTATTCCAATATATATTTGCACTCTCAGTATAATGTAACTTAATTAATATACTTGAAATTATTGTGAATTTTTAATAAGAAATATAAATAAGAAACTGGCCTTTTTTGGCCTTAATTTTTTTGTTATTTGCTCCTAATATTATGTAGTATCATTTTTGTTAGTACACGGCTGAATGAGATATATAATTTCCAAATTCAATAATCAAATATATTTTTGATTAAATCAGATTGATAAAAAATCAACATAACTTCAAATGAAATGATCAAAAGTAAATTGTTTGAAAGATAAAATAACCTTGGTATATTATTTGATAAAAATTTTAGATCAGCTACAAATAAATCATATCAAATCGTTGGCGTTATATATAATTCGACTTTTATCTTAAGAAATGTAAAATAATTTTAAAATGTAGACTGAAGAAGAGGCGCTTTTATCACTATTTTTATTGTTCGACATCTCCCTCCCCTACTGCCTTGGTATAATAATGTTAAAACTTCAAAAGTACTGTTCCAAAAGTTTTCATTTCCTTAATTAAATCATTTTCTGTTATGTAAGCTAGTTTAATATGTATGTTGTCTTTTAATGAATTTCAATAAAGTTGACACCCTTATTAGGTAAAAGAAATGATACAAAAAGTACTTACTATTGATAAATCAAGAAGTATATGTAATTAAAAATATAAAAATAACTATTCCCGAAATTATATAAGTAGTTGCAGGGTTATGATGATCAAATCACCTTGTAAACTCCCAAATAAAAAAATAACTGTGCTTATCAAAAATAATAAATTAACCATGGTTTGCATTGTTTTTTATTTAGAGAAAAATGCTATATATTTTTTATCTCACAGCAAAAATGATCATTCTAATATGGATATTGAAAACTTCAAGAAATCTTATTATATAACGGTGACTTTGGAAAAAATAAAAAAATTAGGATTAGAAT